TTATAAATAATTCACCAAAGTTTCTTGCAAAATGGTGAAAGCGTATTTGAGTTATTGTCCGAAAACTGGAAATCCCCCTTTTTTTAACGTATAAAACCCCACAACTCGGAAACGAAAAATCTGAAATTTCTAAAAATCGAAAGGGAGCTCACGTCAATAGATATAAACAATTCACCAAAGTTTCATGCAAATTGGTTAAAGCGTTTCTGAGTTATTGTCGGACATGTTGACGACGGACGGACGGACGGACAAGGGTATACCACAATACGTCCATTTGCTAAAATCCATTGGATGTTGAATGTGTACTTATTGATATTTTAGTCTTTGAGACAAAAATGTTTGATTAGTTGTTATTGCCTTTAAACTAGCTTTCAGTAACTATGATCTGTACTTTGTGTTTTTGTGTGCTTGATATTAATCTGATGAGTATAGCCCTTTTCTACATATTTTTATCGTTTGATATTATGTTTGCTGTTACACCACTGTCCAAAACTAGATGGGAGAGAAGGCTACATGCAAACTTGTTTTGCTCATTGCTCATTGTTGAAGGCTGTACAGTGACCTATAGTTTTTAACTTCTACCTTATTTGGTCTCTGGTGGAGAATTGTTTCATTGACAATCTGTGAATCGTACCACATCTTCTTATTTTTATGTTAACCCTGTTACATTCTGTATGTGCCTGTTCCAAGTTAGGACCTGTAATTCAGAGTGGTTGTTGTTTCATATACAGTATCATATTTTTATTGTTTTGTACATAAATCAGGCGAGTTTCTTTACTTGTTTGAATTGTTAGACATTTGGTATTTCTGTGCCTTTTAAAGCTTGCAATGCAGTATGGGTTTTGCTCACTGTTGAAGGTCGTACGGTGACATGAACTTAATGACTTATATATCATATGGTCTCTGGTGGAGAGTTGTCTCATTGGTTATTATACCACATCATATTTTCATACAAATGATACAAATCTACATAGCTCCTTTGATTCCTGTATCACAGCTTTAAATACGGGGTTGTTGCATTGAAAAAAATTGTGTTCATCTGATTCATTTAAAAAAAAAAATTAAAATGGGCCAGTCATATGGGTATAGTTTTCTTGTTTGAATTGTTTTACAATTGTGATTTTGGGGCCTTTTATAGCTGACTATGCAGTATGGACTTTGCTCATTTTTTAAGGTCATATGGTGACCTATAGCTGTTTATTTCTGTGTCATTTTGGTCTCTTGTGGAGAGTTGTCTCATTGGCAATCATACCACATCTTCTTTTTTATATTTAGTTTAAATTTTCCACTTAATGTCGGTTTTTAAAGAACAGTTGCATCTGTGGTAAATGTTCAAGGTTCTAACAACAAATACACTGAAAGTAGAATGTAAATAGTACCAACTATCCATGGTCCGGTATTGTCCAAATTAGGGTAATTGTTTGATTGAGAGGTGACGATCATTTTTTGATAAAAATCATCATCTGCCAAGATTTTGTATGAGTGAACTTACAATTTTGTTTGTTGTTGTTTAATGCCACTATTTGGTTTCATAATGGTTTTTTGTTAGTGCAGATAGCTTGAGAACCCCAGTACCAAGAAAGAACATGCAGACTGGGCAGTAGAGTTGGCAAACCTTGTCAATTAAAATTATGGTACCGTAGACAGTGGGCGGGATAATTGGCAGTTCTTGTCAATTAACATCAAAGTCCAATTAACCTTGCCATTGTTAAACTCACAACCTCAGAGCTAATAGAATAGCAATCACTGTAGGTAAATTTCTTAAAAACTCTGTCACCGTGACCTAAAATTGATCTGTTGGATGAGATTAGCAGTTTACTGTTTTTTTTCACAATTTTTGTTTGGCAATGTGCAGAATAAAAAATAAAAGATTTTTAAAATGGCTTACTATATAAACAAATGTAAGTTGATATATCATTAATTGATATACAAACAATAATAAATATATTTTTATTTTTTCAGGTGAAGATACAGAATATCCATCTGAGGATGACTCAATTACTGGTATCATGACTCCGACATTTCCCGTGGAAAGTACCGATGTAAAAAAAAAAGAGAGATATTTATAGAAAAAGTAAAAAAATGGAGGAAAGGAAAAAGGAAGAAGAATCAGTAGTCATGACGATTGATCCATCCCAGATCAAGACGGAACATCCTGACATCTTCAACATTGACTCCTTGGTCCATACTATTAATAGGAACTCTGAGATTTGTCCAAGGAAGTTCAATAGGTCATACAGAGACATTGAAACAGAAATGGTTATGACAGAAATTACTGGATTCCAGACTGGTTCCTCAGTTCTAAAAGAAACAGTTGTCAACATTAAAAAGGAGCCTAATAGTTCACCTATCAAAGGTTTGATGCAAATGGCAATGCAAAAAGGTTTAGAAGATAGTGACCAGTGGGGCAATTTCAGTGAATTTGATATTGATAGTGTTGTTAATGTTGTCAATAGAGGAGACGAGAGGAGACAACTGGCAGATTGTCATGTAAATATTGTGAAAATAGAAGACAAGGAAGGCAACTTGAAGATGGCATTGTAAATTTTGTGAATAGAGAAAACCATGGGAGAGAACTAGAAGATAGTAATATCACTATTGTGAAAGAAGAAATACAGGGGAGGCAACTAGAGGAAGAGGCATATTTACAGAGGGATGATATTGAAGCTCTTGTTCATTATACAAATAGAAAATCACATTCATTCAGTCCTTCGAAGATCAATGCTTCTCAACAGCCATCATTGTCAGCTAAACCTATACAATTGTTGGCCTGCGACTGACAGATGACAACAAAGGAAGTAAATCTCCAAATAAAAATGGAGATAACTCTTTATCATTATCACCACAAATGAAAAAGAACTATAAATTAAAAGACTGTTCTGTGGTTTTGGACACTGATAAAGACATTCAGTCTAAAATGCTGAATTTACAGAAAAATGCGGAGTCTGGAAAGGAAGACATGAACAGTAGTGTACATGATTTAAAGAGAAGTGGAGAAATTTCTGATTTTAAAAATGTTGAAAATAAACAGGCGTAAAAAAGGGCAAATGTCCAGTTGAAAAAACAGAAATGTCCCTTTGTTTTTAAAGAACAGTTGCATCTGTGGTAAATGTTCAAGGTTCTAACAACAAATACACTGAAAGTAGAATGTAAATAGTACCAACTATCCATGGTCCGGTATTGTCCAGATTAGGGTAATTGTTTGATTGAGAGGTGACGATCATTTTTTGATAAAAATCATCATCTGCCAAAATTTTGTATGAGTGAACTTACAATTTTGTTTGTTGTTGTTTAATGCCACTATTTGGTTTCATAATGGTTTTTTGTTGGTGCAGATAGCTTGAGAACCCCAGTACCAAGAAAGAACATGCAGACTGGGCAGTAGAGTTGGCAAACCTTGCCAATTAAAATTATGGTACCGTAGACAGTGGGTGGGATAATTGGCAGTTCTTGTTAATTAACATCAAAGTCCAATTAACCTTGCCATTGTTAAACTCACAACCTCAGAGCTAATAGAATAGCAATCACTGTAGGTAAATTTCTTAAAAACTCTGTCACCATGACCTAAAATTGATCTGTTGGATGAGATTAGCAGTTTACTGTTTTTTTTCACAATTTTTGTTTGGCAATGTGCAGTATAAAAAATAAAAGATTTTTAAAATGGCTTACTATATAAACAAATGTAAGTTGATATATCATTAATTGATATACAAACAATAATAAATATATTTTTATTTTTTCAGGTGAAGATACAGAATATCCATCTGAGGATGACTTAATCAGTGAAACAAGCTCAATTACTGGTATCATGACTCCGACATTTCCCGTGGAAAGTACCGATGTAAAAAAAAAAGAAAAAAAAAAAAAAAAAAGAGAGATATTTATAGAAAAAGTAAAAAAATGGAGGAAAGGAAAAAGGAAGAAGAATCAGTAGTCATGACGATTGATCCATCCCAGATCAAGACGGAACATCCTGACATCTTCAACATTGACTCTTTGGTCCATACTATTAATAGGAACTCTGAGATTTGTCCAAGGAAGTTCAATAGGTCATACAGAGACATTGAAACAGAAATGGTTATGACAGAAATTACTGGATTCCAGACTGGTTCCTCAGTTCTAAAAGAAACAGTTGTCAACATTAAAAAGGAGCCTTATAGTTCACCTATCAAAGGTTTGATGCAAATGGCAATGCAAAAAGGTTTAGAAGATAGTGACCAGTGGGGCAATTTCATTGAATTTGATATTGATAGTGTTGTTAATGTTGTCAATAGAGGAGACGAGAGGAGACAACTGGCAGATTGTCATGTAAATATTGTGAAAGTAGAAGACCAGGGGAGGCAATTGGCTGATTGTCATGTAAATATTGTGAAAATAGAAGACAAGGAAGGCAACTTGAAGATGGCATTGTAAATTTTGTGAATAGAGGAAACCATGGGAGAGAACTAGAAGATAGTAATATCACTATTGTGAAAGAAGAAATACAGGGGAGGCAACTAGAGGAAGAGGCATATTTACAGAGGGATGATATTGAAGCTCTTGTTCATTAAACAAATAGAAAATCACATTCATTCAGTCCTTCGAAGATCAATGCTTCTCAACAGCTATCATTGTCAGCTAAACCTATACAATTGTTGGCCTGCGACTGACAGATGACAACAAAGGAAGTAAATCTCCAATTAAAAATGGAGATAACTCTTTATCATTATCACCACAAATGAAAAAGAACTATAAATTAAAAGACTGTTCTGTGGTTTTGGACACTGATAAAGACATTCAGTCTAAACTGCTGAATTTACAGAAAAATGCGGAGTCTAGAAAGGAAGACATGAACAGTAGTGTACATGATTTAAAGAGAAGTGGAGACATTTCTGATTTTAAAAATGTTGCAAATAAACAGGCGTAAAAAAGGGCAAATGTCCAGTTGAAAAAACAGAAATGTCCCTTTGTTTTTAAAGAACAGTTGCATCTGAAAAATTGTACACAAATATTCATGGAACTATATGTATTATCATTTATTATAAAGAATATCAAGAATCTTCAATTTCCTTTATCTGGATATTCTACCAAATGAATGAAAAATTTTAATATACCATAATGTATTGTATAAATTTTGATGTTCATCAAATGAAAAGAAATGTATTGTTTTGGTCACAATCTTATCAACAATCACTTAAATAGTACAATCAAGGTCCCAATGCCATTTAAACAGTTAAGAAGAAACATTTTCCTTCTTGTTTCCTCACACTATAACATAAAAATATCACAAATGATAAACAATATATAGAAACTAAGACAAGATAACTATAATTTTACATACTATCAACATGAAAAAATAACAGAAACAAACATGAAATTTTCGAAGCAATGTCAAACGGATGTCTTCCAATGTACATTTTGTAATAATACACTTTTTCACAAAAAAACTTTTTTCTAAGGGCTGTTCCTTTAAAATATGTGAATGCAATATACTTTATATTATAGATCTAATAATGTCCCTTTGAAGCAATTTCAGCAATACCATGGATTTTCATTCCATATAAAATAAATGGGGAATGTGTCCATGGGACACAGATGATGCCCCCGCTTGCATGTAACGTTATAAAGGGACATAACTCAAGAACTGTAAAAGTGACGCTACCCAAATTTGTACTTGATCTGAGTTTTGTGGTAATAATCATTGTTTATAAGTTTCATAACATTTAGTTTGGACAAACTTAAGTTAGAGAATGGAAACGAAAAATTCAGCAATTTTTCCATTTGTAAAGGGGCATAACTCTAGAATGGTAAAAGTGACGCCATCAAAATTTAAACTTGTTCAGTGTTTAGTGGCAATAAGCATTGTGTATAAGTTTTATAACATTTGGTTGAGGCAAACTAAAGTAAGAGAACGGAAACGAAAAATTCAGCAATTTTTCCATTTGTAAAGGGACATAATTCTAGAACAGTAAAAGAGACGCCACCCAAATTCACACTTGATCTGTGTTTTGTGGTAATAAGCATTGTGTATAAGTTTCATAACATTTGGTTGAGGCAAACTATAGTTAGAGAACGGAAACCAATTTTGGGACGTACGGACAGACGTCCGTACAGACGGACAAGGTTCAAACTTAATGCCCCCTCTGCTACGGCGGGGGCATAAAAAGCAGGGGACCACTACACAGACATAAATTATGGAGGGACCACGATACAGTGGCACCATCTACATTGTACACATGTTTATTCAAAAGGAACAGCCATCATTTTTTTGAGAAACCTGTTTCAATTTTCATCAGAACCTGCATACAATTTATTTTTTTGTTTTTCTTTATAAACCAGATCTATAGTTAACCTTGCATTATTTAACATTAAACTGACAAAAATTTTAAAGCTTTATCTGATGTAATTGGTTTTCTAGTGATATTACAGTGATGTTAAACATTTGTTGCAGTAACGTTAAATGATAATGCTATTTGATTTAAATAGTTTTGATGCAAATGTCTAGACAGGAAGTTTCAAAATAAAATCAATGCATGGACTGGAATATGATAAACTTGACATCAAAAATTTGAATTTTACAATATAAAATTAACTCTTTAAGGTCAAATTTTTTATGAGAATTGCAAATCTTTTTTATTATTACCTATTAGGTTACTAAAAAAAAGATCAACTGTAATCAAATTATAACAATGAGTGAACATACATGTAAATCAATATCTATACCTAAATTTAAGCTTTATTGCATCTCACAAAAACAAGATTTGTCAAGACTTAACATGTACTTAACAAACCACTTAATTATATACATGATCACTAACTACTAAAAATTAACATCATAAAATATTATGGCACTTGAACTTATTAAACATAAACAGCACTCCAATGCATAACTGTAACTACAAACAATTACATATTCATCTCAGTAAGTTAAGTTTATATGTAAACTGTTGGATAATCCTGAATGCCTAAGATATTAGATAGTAAAGCAGAGGTTCATTTAAATGTTATTTACAAGGAACAATTTACAAAAATACACTAAAGAGGGTAAAAACACATTTGGTCCCAAGTTAGCCAAAAAATTAACTAGAAAAGCATTTCAGCGTACAATGCATTTTTTTTAAAACCCAGGGATTAATCAAAAATAATAAATAAAAACAGACAACACCATTCAAGTGTGCAATGTTTTCAACTTTTCAGACACAGCATGCACAAGGTTATTTCAGACGCAGCATGCACAAGGTTAAAATTTCTTTTCTAAGTGACTATAAAAAATAAATGTGGATAGTGTCCACATGTGGACACAGATGATGCCCCCGCTTGCATATCATATAGTTATAAAGGGACATAACTGAAGAACAGTAAAAGTGACGCTACCCAAATTTGAACTTGATCTGAGTTTTGTGGTAATAAGCATTGTGTGCAAGTCTCATAACATTTGGTTGAGGCTAACTTAAGTAGAGAACAGAAACTGAAAATGCAGCAATTTTTCTATTTGTAAACACACATAACTCTAGAACGGTTGTGTATAAGTTTTATAACATTTGGTTGAGACAAACTAAAGTTAGAGAACAGAAACGAAAAATTCAGCAATTTTTATGTTTATAAACGGACATAACTCAATGAATGGTAAGAGTGTCGCCACCAAATTTCGTACTTGATCTGTATTATGTAGTAATAAGCATTATGTATAAGTTTCATAACATTTGGTTGAGGCAAACTGAAGTTAGAAGACGGAAACAAAAAAGTTGTACTTGATCTTAGTTTTGTGGTAATGAATATTGTGTATAGGTTTCATAATGTTTGGTTGGGGCAAACTTAAGTTACAGAAAGGAAACTAAAAATTTTGCAATCTTTCGATTTATAAAGGGGTATAACTCAATAATGGTTAAAGTGACACTACCCAAATTCATCTTAATGTGTGTTTTATCAGTGGAAGTCAAAATTAAACATTGCATTGTATAAAGCATTGATTGTAGTTGATTCAACTATAATCATGGACAAAAGGAATATAACTCCAATTTTAAAAATTACTTGATATTTAGAAGAAAATAAAAATTTTGCAATTTTTCCATTTATAAAGGGGCATAACTCTAGAACGGTTAAAGTGACGCCAACAAAATTCAAACTTGATCTGTGTTTTGTGGTAATAAGCATTGTGTATAAATTTCATAACATTTGGTTGAGGCAAACTCAAGTTAGAGAACAATTTTGGGATGTACGTACAGACGGACAAGGGTAAAAATTAATGCCCCCACCGCTATGGGCATAAAAATCATAGTAATTGTGAGTGATTACCATCATATATATCCCTCTGTATATACAATGGACATTATAAGAAAGGGTCCTAGTTTTCAGAAATTTCTTTGGTCCATAGCGATTCACTCAATACCTGCAAGAGTGATTTTTATTTCGTCCTGTGTGTGCTGTACTAATCCAAGTTGTTCTGTCATCTGACGTCCTACTGTAGAACTTGCTGTGTCTTGGACCCTAGCAAATTCTGAAAAAAGGCTGTCAGACATCAGAGCAATCTCTGACTTTTGTTATACAAATCAACAGTAAAATAACAAATACATTTCAAAGAATGTTCTCCTAGTTGCAATATTAATATTGCAAATTTTGTCAGTTATATAGTATAAAACCTTTCAATGTATATACACCTAGTTTACACATGTACTCTATTATGATTTTGTAACAAGATTTTCCCATATTTTAACCCACAATATGCCAAAACTCCTTGTCCCAATCAGTCAGATCAAACTACCTGTACAAAGAATGCTCAATTTTCAATTCTATACTGTAAAAAATGCTGTAACCACAAAAATGTAGGAACCCTCTCATTGAATTTTGATTACTATAAATTTCATAGGTTCTCTATGCAATACCAAAGTTTTTAAACAAGTACTGATATTAAGTTTGTGTATCACCAGGTAATCAGACATGAGGGCCCTAACCTAACAGCAACATATACATTGATGCTGGAAGTTTTTAACGACCTTGACTGGCTATACAGCCCTCGCTTGGTCGGGAATATACATTGTTCATGTATGCTTGATTAATAAACACAACAAGCTTTACATAACATGTATGTTTAATCTTTAAATATTTTTGCTCTTGTGATATGATTTAAAAAATTTATGAAAGAAAGTTTTTTTTCTTGATAATACATTATTATACTTAAACATGCATTTTGTACAAACTAAAGGCATATTGATCAGCTGTAGTCTTTATTCATTGCCAAACCAAAATTCTTTTTCTGAGAGTATAAATATTAGATAACAGTGTAAACAGTAATTATATAATATACAGCAAACATATGTAATTTTGATTAAGTTAACTAACATGAAAAAGAATATATTTTGTTATTAACATGTACATGGTCAAGTAATCACAATTTTTGGACACCACTACATTGCCCATCCAGTTTTGTGTTGTCTACAGGAGCAAACAGAGCGTAGAACTTCATCAAGCCTGGGGTAACAGAACTCACGCCACTCTGATTCTAAGTAGTGGTCATTGATTGTACAAAGATTTGGCGCTCCAGACACCAATATTCTGTAAAGACAGGGGATGTTGATTTTATCTGAAGTGACCAATGGTCCATTCCATGGATGTCTCAATACACGGAACCTTTCTAATCGGGGCATGTCAATTCTCTTTAGATAGAATCCTCTACTCTGAGAGATATCAAAATAGGCCACTGAGTTTGAAGATACTGAGTAAAGTGCTAGGGTTGGTCCGCTTGGTGTCCAAACTTCCAACATAAATCTGCGTAGAGCAGGTAGCCCTGCTAAAAGTTCTGTCAACATTTTTTGGTCAAGACATTGAAATACAAAGTATTTCTCAAGAACTAAACTATGAATGTTTTTCAATCTTGTCAAACACTTCACACTTCTGGAACACCAATCAAATGGCATTACAAGTGTCCGTATAGCAGTTGCCTTTTTAGTAAAAAGGTCAAACATGTTTACAAAGTATCTTGACCTTAAACGATGTCTGTACATTATATCGTTTTCTTTGTCATCATCCGGTGGAACCCAGTAAGGCCGGCATGGTGTTTCTTTCCAGTTCAGAGAGCAAACTTTACATTCACGGTAATTGAGATTTATCATTAGAGATTCCACCAGTTTTAAATATCCACTTGAACATTCTCCAATGTTGAACTTAAATTCAAAACGTTTTGGCCGAGGTTTAATACATAAAATGAACTTGCAAAAAAGATGAACTCGTTTCTTATAGCAAGAGTAACAGTTTTCTACTCTTTCATGAACAATTTGTGACCGAAGGCATGTCACTGGGAAATTCCATATAGACAGTTGGTCCCAAACACTTGGATGAAGAAGGAGGTGATACCATTCTTTACATACTGATAAAATACAGCCTTTCTCTATGTGGTCAAGGTAGGAAAAAACCTTTAACTTGCAGTCAACTGGCAGTGCATTAAATGAAAAATATTCAGTAAGAATAGGTTCATCTAATAAGATGTTATCATATTTTCTACTTCCTCTTATTCTTAAACTTCTTCTCCTCTCAGCCATCAACCTGTGAAAATAAATTTGGAACTTATATCATCATTTTCTACTGTCTTTTAATCCCATATTATGAAATACATGTACCTTTAATTATATACAATTAAATAGCATTAAATTCCCCAAAAAATGTTGATCAACAACTTTTTTAAAGCAACACAAGATTTTTAGTTATTTTGAAGATCAGAGATAAATGAAATTTTCAGGGTCAATGAAATCATACTTTTATGAATAGTAAAGACAACTTAAATGACAGACAATAATACACTCTATTAGAGCATAGTATTCAAGAGAAATTCAAGAAATGAAAAAAATAAGACTTTGCTACTTTAAATAAAAAAAACATCTGAATGTCTAAGGGATATTATTCTACCTCCAAAATAATAAACCTGTACCAGTTAAGCCAACTAAAATTAATTAGTAGATTTTCATCCAGATTTTTGAAAATTAACTGTTATCACAGAGATATGTGTCGCTTTTTTGTAATTTTGATTATGCAAATGTTGAAATTAAAATGGCAATACTTAACAAGTTAGGCTAATATTCAAAGTCAATGAACCATGACTGAGGTACATGGCTAAACCATCTCCATGTAAATGAGATGCGCCAATGCTAATACAACTGCATACCAAATATCATTGACTTATTATAAGTTGTTCCCTTTAAACAAACCTAAACACAAACATTAACTTGTAAACTATGTAAAAGTTTCAAAGTCAATGAACCATGAAGAGGGGATGGAGCTATATAATCTCCATAGAAACGATACTTACAAATGCCAATAAATTTGCATACCAAATATCATTGACTGAACATTAGCAGTTCATCTTAAACTGATCTTATCACAAACTAATACATGTAAACTAAGCAAAAGTTTCAAAGTCAGTAGGCCATGACTGAGGGGATGGGGCCAAATATTCTCCATTGAAATGAGATATGCTAATGCTTATACAACTGAATACCAATTAACATCGGCCTACCACTAATGGTTCCCCATAAACTGACCTAATCACAAACTAATACATGTTAACAAAGCAAAATTTTCATGACTAAGGGGGCTGAGCCAAATAATCGCCATGGAAATGAGATATGCCAATGCTTATACAACTGCATACCAAATATCATTGACCTACCACTAATGGTTCCTCATAAACTGACTTAATCACAATCTAATACATGTAAAATAAGCAAAAGTTTCAAAGTCATTAGACCATGACTGAGGGGGCAGGGCCAAATAATCTCCATGGAAATGAGATGTGCCAATGCTTATACAACTGTATACCAAATATCATTGACCTACCACTAATGGTTCCCCATAAACTGACCTAATCACAAACTAATACATGTAAAATAAGCAAAAGTTTCAAAGTCAACAGACCATGACTGAGGGGGCAGGGCCAAACAATCTCCATGGAAATGAGATGTGCCAATACTAATACAACTGTATACCAAATATGATTGACCTACAACTTGTGGTTCACCATAAACTAGACCTAATCACAAACTAACACATTGTTGATGATATCTCGCTTTTAGACTCTGTCAAGCGAGATAAAAATGGGGCGGTTTGGTTTTATTTTTTTATTTTTATTCCCTCTGAAACCCTTTGTATTGTGTTCTTCATATGCAAGGGTGATAATAAGTTTATGCCATGTATATATAAGGAATTCTACATATTTTTTTCAAATTCTTAGATAAATATTTCTGATTCGCAACCACTGTTATACATGTAATTGCAGCTTTACAAACCTATTTTCAGTAAATACCAATAAACAGCTGCGCTATGAGCTCATGATACGCCCGTAGCTTTCTCATAGAATAAAGTTCAATAACTTCTCAATGTCATACCAGAAATTCATGAAAAACTAAAAGGAGGTTATCTTAATAGATATAAACCAGTCACCAAAGTTTCATGATGCTCAAAGTATTGTCTGAAAACTGGAAAATCCCCCCTTTTAATGAATAAAATCACATAAATCGGAAACGTAAAATCTAAAATATATAAAAATTGAAAGGGAGCTCATGTCAATAGATATAAACAATTCACCAAAGTTTCTTGCAAATTGGTGAAAGTGTTGTTGAGTTATTGTCCGAAAACTGGAAAATCCCCCTTTTTTAATGAAAAAAAACCCAAAACTCAGAAACTTAAAATCTAAAATTTATAAAAAATGAAAGGGAGCTCATGTCAATAGATATAAACAATTCACCAAAGTTTCATGCGAATTGGTTCAAGCTTTTTTGAGTTATTGTCCGACATGTTGACGACGGACAACGGTATACCAAAATATGTCCCGTAAACAGGCGTTTAAAAATGTGGAGAAATGCTCTCTTTTAGGCTGCCTTATTCCCTACATCTAATTTATTTTCCTTTCTTACCTTCCAAAGATTTGATTTCAAGTAGTTAAAATGGTCAATTAAAATTTCTTTTTGGTGTATCCATGGCAACAATCTGTTTTTAATTGCTATAAAATATTGCAAAAAGGGGGGTAAAGATGTCACATATTTCCCCCAAAATTGGCCAAAAGTAGAATTTTAATCCCTTGGAGTGACACCTTTTATGAAACTGTTTACATATATCTATCAAGAGATCAAATAAAAGTCATATGTCTTTTGTCTCATTTTTTTCTAAAATTACGTCAAAAAGTTCGTGTGAAAAAAAAGTGTTTGTAAACATTACAATAATTTCTGGACCTATTGCTGGTCTGGCTATGAAAATACGGACAGTCAAACAGAAAACAGCCAATAAAACATGTCAAAATAAATGGGGAATGTGTCCAGGGGACACAGATTATGCCCCCACTTGCATATCATATAAAATTATAAAGGGACATAACTGAAGAACAGTAAAAGTGATGCTACCCAAATTTGTACTTGATCTGAGTTTTGTAGTAATAAGTTTTGTGTATAAGTTTCATAAAATTTGGTTGAGGCAAACTTAAGTTAGAGAACGGAAACAAAAAATTCAGCAATTTTTCCATTTGTTTAGGGGCATAACTCTAGAACAATAAATGTGACACCACCAAAATTCAAACTTGATCTGTATTTTGTGGTAATAAGCATTTTGTATTAGTTTGATACATGTAGCATTTGGTTGAGGCAAACTAAAGTTAGAGAACAAAAACAAAAAATACAGCAATTTTTCCATTTGTAAAGGGGCATAACTCTAGAACTGTTAAAGTGACGACACCAAAATTCAAACTTAATCTGTGTTTTGTGATATTAAGCATTGTGTACAAGTTTCATAACATTTGATTGAGGCAAACTAAAGTTAGAGAACGGAAACCAACTTTGGGACGTACGTACAGACGGACAAGGGTAACAATTAATGCCCCCTCCGCTACGGCGGGGGCAAAAAAATAGTCTTGATGTTCTTAACTACCCACTTCGAAGGCTAAATTAGTCATCAGCTGTCTAAAAATGAATTTTATTGCACAATAACTTTCATATTTGAAAAATCCACCATGGCCAAAATGCGAAACTACACTCCTAACTGTGTGTTGCTACCTGAAACAAAATTATCGGTGGTTACCGATAACAGAAATGAACAAAATCCGGAAATTGTAAATTTTTCAGAGGGGCGGGCGGGGATGAAAATCTATCAATTAATTTCAATTGGCCTTAATAAAATACACTTGTATATGACCCCTGACTGAAAAGATATGCTGGGCAAAGCAGATGTATAACAATATTTTTTTCATTTCTGATTGTACTGCATTATTTAATCAGTCAGATGTAATTGTAAATTATTTATTTATAATTCTTAGAATTTTCTGTCATGTATATTTATCATGATAAAATTAAATGACCAATAACTTTTCTGTTTGGTGTACACCCAATGAGCAAATTTGCATCTGTAAATGCTGAAAACAGATTTCTGTCTGGGCTTTCATCCCCTGAACCCTGTACTTGACAGATAAGCTAAATCAGGTTTAAAATGTGCTACTTCTCAAGGCTACAGTCCACAAGAAGGAAAATCACATTTCCAAGACACGTAATTCCAAATCCAGTCAGACCAGATTTTGCTCTTACTCCAAAATACCGCCAAATAGGGGGGAAGCAGCAAACAACAATTTTCAATGTATGGTTTGACTGTGATATATGGCTGTATATCAAACCAATGACATCTCGTAATCAAGACATGCACCACCACAAGAACAGTAGTTCTTGTTACATTCAATACTTACTACACAGGACCGATTTGCATCATTTATCATGTTAATACTATTATTTATATGCAAAACAAATTTCAAAAGATTTATATATCAATTATTTCTCTACATTAGCATGATTAGGCCAAAATTTAAATATTGTATGATTCCCCGAACCCGACTCTACCCTGCCAGGTATCGGTAGGAAGGTAGCAAAATTATTTTAATTTTCCACCCCCCAAAAAATGAAAAGTATATATGTGTACATCATGTTTAAGGAAATTGTATAATGAAAATAAGGATTTTTCACAGACATATACTGCTAGAAAACTGACTTAATGCTACCATTTAAAGATTTTTTACTTCAAGGTTCAGCAATCAAGTTTAACCAAGACATTGAACATGTTGAAGGCTTGGGATTATGATGGACAATATACATGTGCTTTCAAAACTGATCATTCAATGCTAAAATATTAAAGAACTTAATACCCTAGTTTCCAAGCATAGAGCATTTAAAATTTCCACAGCTCATATTTCCAGGCAAATCTTTCAAGAAAAAAGAGCAGTTCAAGGCATGTTACCGGTACATCAAAAACATCCAAAAAGAGTGAGACAATGGATGTACTTGAAATGAGACTGTGAGCAACATGAACTTCAGGAGTAAACCATCAAAAGTAAACTATTTTCTTTCTGACACTAACATGTCTGTATTTGCATTGACAAGGCATCTTGAAATAAACTCATGGATACTTTTATTATTCTATCTAAAAAAGTGGTAAATATTTTAATTGTGAATTAAAGTCATTTACTGTGTACTAATGTGTTGAGTAAAAGCCAGAATTGGTAATTTTGAAGTAATGATACAGATACTGTTTTGAATATGTCTCAATACTCTGCACGAACCACTTCCCACTCGATAAAATTTTTGTCAGGAAAACATGCAATGCAAATAAAATCGGTATCAAGCGCATTGTTCTCAGTTTCTTTCAGCTCCACAGATCCTAAAATGGTATCACAAAGGTCTTCCTTTGATCATTATAAAGTAACTCTATTTAAGACATTTAAAACCAAACGTTTTTGATTTGTTCCAACAGATGTGCACAGTGGGACCTCAATCTCCATGCATGTGTTCAATTATTCTGTGACCTGGAACAAGGCGTTCTGCATCACATAAGCCCTTTAAATCATTTACAATTCCCACTTTGGTCCAAACACTTGAAGGTGTATAAATAATAATACTCATAAGTCAGACAGCCGCTAACAATACAGCTGATTAAGAAAAATCCAAAATGGCCAAAATGCGAAACTACACTCCTAACTGTGTGTTGCTAAAAGTGACACCACCAAAATTCAAACTTGATCTGTGTTTTGTGGTAATTAGCATTTTGCATAAGTTTCATAACATTTGGTTGAGGCAAACTAAAGTTAAGAGAACGGAAAACGAAAAATTCAGCAATTTTTCCATTTGTAAAGGGGTATAACTCTAGAATGGTAAAAATGACGCCACCAAAATTCAAACTTGATCTGTGTTTTGTGGTAATAAGCATTGTGTATAAGTTTCATAACATTTGGTTGAGGCAAACTAAAGTTAGAGAACGGAAACGAAAAATTCAGCAATTTTTCCATTTGTAAAGGGGCATTACTCTAGAACGGTAAAAGTGACGCCAACAAAATTCAAAGTTGATCTGTGTTTTGTGGTAATAAGCATTGTGTATAGATCTAATAATGTCCCTTTGAAGCAATTTCAGCAATACCATGGATTTTCATTCCATATAAAATAAATGGGGAATGTGTCCATGGGACACAGATGATGCCCCCGCTTGCATGTAACGTTATAAAGGGACATAACTCAAGAACTGTAAAAGTGACGCTACCCAAATTTGTACTTGATCTGAGTTTTGTGGTAATAATCATTGTTTATAAGTTTCATAACATTTGGTTGAGGCAAACTTAAGTTAGAGAACAGAAACGATAAATTCAGCAATTTTTCCATTTGTAAAGGGGCAAATAACTCTAGAACATGTACAGTAAAAGTGATGCCACCAAAATTCAAACTTGATCTGTGTTTTGTGGTAATTAGCATTGTGTATAAGTTTCATCACATTTTGGTTGAGGCAAACTAAAGTTAGAGAAAGGAAACCAATTTTGGGACGCACCTACAGACGGACAAGGGTAAAACTTAATGTAGCGGAGGCATAAAAATCTCTGGATTTTGACAATAAAAATCTTCCAGTGGTGGCCATTTTCTGGGTTAGGGAAAACAATAATATTTTATTTTTGGCCTTACAACATGTTACTATTTGCATCGGTTTATTTCCCCCAATCTTTATTGCAAACAGAGATAGTCAAGGTACATGTAGTACATGTATATTGACAGGACCAAAAGTGCAATATATATTTTTCCAGTCAGCTGTCTCTACTTTTTTGCTCTTTCTTCTCATTCTTCTACCTTGTTTTTTTTTTTCTCTCACATTCTTCTTTATGCCTACATCAGTTGTCACGCCTCTTTCCTATGTTTTCCATGATGTTGCAGATGATGAAAGCAACCAGTGACTATATACACCTTATTGCTATTTATTCCATTCCAGATAAGTTCTGAAATTACACAACTTTTTCATCCAGTTGAAGCTATCTGGGGCCCTGTTTCAACAATGTATCATGCATAATACTTTTTAAATTGACCTGTTTTAACCATCGTAAACACTTCAAACAAAATATTTTTTTACTTTAATTAAGAGTTTGGAAAAAGTGCTTTCAAAATGTTCGCTTTCTAAATTTTTTCCTCCCTAAGCTCGTTACTGATGACCTTTGTTTTGGCGCTGAATGACCCAAACAGGAAATTGTCTAAGTGACTGTTTTTTTCCGGATTGGACTAAATAGGGATAAGGTGTATTGTGAACACCGGGGCGCCTAGATAATCACTTTTGACAGTCAGGCAAAGCGATGTGACAGGCGATAAAGTGTCTTCTATGCATGAGTCGCCAACTAACTTGAGTCCTGTTTTGTTTTTTACTGTCTAGCAGAGAGCAGCAGGATCCAAGTGTAGTAAATTCATGAAATAAGTCTTTTAACATGTATAAGCGGTTATATTACTGTGAATATAACATCAATAGAGATCAGTGGGTACAAGTCAAATCGGCACCTGGTCAAATCGGTACCTGGTATAGTCAAATCGGCACCTGGTTAAATCGGCACCCGATGAAGTCATTTCAGCAAAAAACAAAACAGGACTCAAGTTAGTTAGTCCACTATATTGTAACTTGAATTAAATGTTTCTTTATTAAAAAGGATAAAATTACCATGTCATCTTAAATATATCATTAAGAATCAGGGACTTTCCAGGAAAAAGTGGAAAAACTTATTTCATAATAATTATTTTTAACCTCGGTGACACTCATTTTGTGTTCGCATGTCATTATTTTCAAAATGATTATGAAAAGTAAATGTTAATAAAAGCTATTTAAACCTTCGAGAAACACTCAGTATCTACCTATATTACTGCAAACTTGTTGAGTAATGAAGTGCTTCAGTTTTCAGCCATTTTCCATTCTCCTTTCGACTGGTTCATGTGGTTTAACTAAAAATTTCTACTTTAGCTCATTTTCTGTTGTGAGAAAAAAAGAAACCAGTAAATGATTAGTGAATCCTAGTTTGGCTGCTTTTCGCTATGTTCTATATAAATGAGGGTTTTTTGAAGTATCATTTTCCTGATATGATTGGGTCAAATTGACCGAAAAATAAAAAGACTGAAAATAACTTATTATCCTTTGTTTTCTTTTTGCTTGATCAGCTGTTTTGTTCACATCCGGTTAATGCAAACTGGTTTACGAATAATATCACACTTGCACACACTGCTCTCATTATAAACCAGATCACGCGGGAAAGGATATTTTTAATATTAAATGTTTATGAACATATGAACAATGGGAAACGAAACGAGTCAGAATGTTTCTTATACAGAATCTTCACCCAATAGCATAAACATTACATGGAAAAATGCTGAAAATACCAACGCATTTCCTGCTAGAGAGGGACAATGTTGTTGTGGTCATGAAAAAACCCTATTTGTGTTTGGTGGTGTTTTACATTTACAATCAGAAATTGAACCACACGAATCTAATGATCTACTTGCACTTGATACAGGTAAAATATTCATCTTCATTAAAATATTTATACGATCTTAAAATGGGGTATCAAAGGTAGTGTAAATACATGTAGGTAATTTAAATAGACATATTTTCACTTGTACTGCCTACTGGTGTACAATGTACATTTGTAGTACCAGTTACTGTCAGAATGTTGCCCCCGCTGCAGCGGAGGGGGCATAAAGGTTAACCCTTGTCCATCTGTACGTCAATTTGTACGTCACGAAATTGGTTTCCGTTCTCTAACTTTAGTTTAGTTTCCCTTGACCAAATGTACATGTAATGAAACTTATAGTTTATATACACAAAGCTTATTACCACTAAACACAGATCAAGTTCGAATTTGGTTGGTGTCACTTTAACTGTTCCTGAGTTATGCCCTTTTATGAGTAGAAAAATTGCTGTATATTTCGTTTCCACTCTCTAACTTTATTTTGCCTTAATTAACTAAATGTTATGATACTTACACATGTACGTATACACAATGCTTATTACCATAAAACACAGATCGTCAGAATTTTGATGGCATCACTTTAACAGTTCCCATTTATGTCCCTTTATAACGTTTAATGCAAGCGAGGGCATCATCAGTGTCCCATGAACACATTCTCCATTTATTCTCAAATAATTTGTAACAGAAAATACTGATCAGTCAAGGGTCTAACTTAAATAAGTTATTAGAGAAAAATAACATACATGTCGTTATTGTGGGCTAAAATATAAAAAAACAGATAACATATATGTATGTTACATGTTTCAAAGAGGCAATTTACATCCTTTACTTTGTTAAATTGTATGTAAGTTCTACTGGTATTATTGTCTTTATGTATACTACACTTTAGAAAGATACATGTATAACAGTTTATAATTTGCAAATCATGTGTAGTACTACACCTATGTAATTACAGAAAATATATGCCTGTAATAACTAAAGGGTGTTATTACAGCTTTTCTACATCTCTTCAAAACCATTTCTCAGACATATATCACAATGTATTTTAATTCATTGTAAGAAATAATGATCAGAGCATGTACAAAAAAAAAATGTAATGAGGTTCTGAGCAAGCTTCCCAGTAATTCCCAAGTGTCTAATTTAATAAGTTACATGCCTGTAATAACTTAGCCTTGTTATTACAGCTTAGTGTATCCCTTAAAAGCCTTGTCTCATTGATTTACCATGGTTGATCAAAAATGTATTAATTGAATTGGAAAATTAATTAACAAGGTTATGCATTAAGTTTCTGCGCAAAGTTTCAAGAAATCCCAAGAGCCCACTAAAAATAAAAATATATTTTTATATACTAACTAATAACAAACATATGTTACTACAGATTAAGAAATAAAGAGCAGACAACTCATGAAAGTATCTGTAATAACACATGTATGTTATTTTTCTCTAATAACTTATTTAAGTTAGACCCTTGACTGCTGATAGAAATATTCTTTTAACACGCAAAGAGTTACCAAAAGTTTGGTCTTGGACTCAGACTTTAATTCCTCTTATATACAGTGAAAAAGCGGGTTGCTAGCTGTATAGTCAGGGTTCGACACTAACGGTAGTCCGGTGACCCCCTAAAATCTAGGAGGACTACCCAACATGGTAAATCAGTAGTCCTGTGGACCACCTGAAATTTGGTGTATGACCTGGCTATTTCAATGCTAAAAGTAAATTGAGGCATACATGTCACGTTTTCAATTATTAATAAATAATTTACTTCACGATTGTCGGGATGTTTACACTTATATATGTGACTCGACAGGCACAGCTGGCCTAAAGAACGACCCATAAAATCGCCCCAGGTTATTAGGCCGAATTAGGCAAGTCGGGCGGAATTTCCCTGACTTATGCTACATTTGTATGTCGAATCAAGAGGGCCGTTTGCATAAAGTGGCGAATGAACCGCGCATCGCGGTCTTGAAAGCGCTTTTTGATACTGGGGACCGACAATGTCGAAATCGCGTAAGAAATTAACTATGACTCTGTGTATCTTGAGGAGGAAGAGGATGATATAATTAGTGATGATGAAGATGACCTCTACTACACAAACAAAGACATTGTATCACTTCAACAAAAATCTTATAAACTGTTTGAAGAATTGATGAAAAATTAAAATATTGACTGATTTTTATCCTTTTTTATATTCTAAACAATTCTGGAATAAAAGGTCAATATAACTCCACCAAACAAGGCCTTAGAAATTGTCTCAGATTGCAGGATTTTGCATCTCATTTTTCAAAATTTTCTTGTGGATGAAAGTTCAGGAAGAATAAAATTGATTGCACTGAATGTTAACTTTTATCTGAAAAAAAACAAAATATTTTCAAAACTCAAATGAACATTTGTGTGCTTTTGAGGTGCTCAGATGGCAGGAAATTGCATCTAATTTTGAAAAAAATTCGTGGGGGGGGCATGCCCCCAAACCCCCCTAGCAAAATCAGGCCGTGTTGCGACCCTCAACAGTGATAGAGGTGGCCTACCAGGACTACCCAAATATTTTTCTTGGTAGTCCTGTGGATTACATATCTTCTAATGTTAGCTATAGTGTCTAACCCTGATAGTTTGCCAGTTTTTGTTTGAAATTTCATGGATACAAGGACCAGTTACCGTCACTTATGAATATAGTTCATAAATTATAGGAATGACATATTAATAAGAAAATTATTGTCATATTTTAGTAATTTACTGTTTTGAGGCAAACAAGAGATGGAGGTTTGTCAAATGAACCAACAATATCATCATTCCGTCCATAAATTCCGAATATTTCAGACTTTCGCTCAATCTGAAAATCATCTTGAATTTATGTTACTTGAAATCAACTGCATTGAATGGAATCATAGAAATTAATTAACCCTTTTTAGCTCACCTGGCCCAAAAGGGCCAAACTGTGAGCTTTTCTTATCACTTGGCGTCTGTCGTCGTCTGTTAACTTTTACAAAAATCTTCTACTCTGAAACTACTGAGCCAAATAAAACCAAACTTGGCCTAAATCATCCTTGGGTATATAGTTTAAAAAATGTAACCGATGACCCCGCCCATCAACCAAGATGGCCGCCATGGCTAAAAATAGAACATGAGGGTAAAATGCAGTTTTTGGCTTATATCTCTGAAACTAAAGCATTAACAGCAAATCTGACGGGGATAAAAATGTTCATCATCTATTTGCCCTGAAATTTTCAGATGCATCAGACAACCCTTTGTTGGGTTGCTGCCCCTGAATTGGTAATTTTAATGAAATTTTGCAGTTTTTGGTTATTATCTTGAATATTATTATAGATAGAGATAAACTGTAAACAGCAATAATGTTCATCAAAGTAAGATCTACAAATAAGTCAACATGACCAAAATAGTCAATTTTTAACAATTTTTTGCTAATTTTTGTAATCTTTTACAAAAATCTTCTCCTCTGAAACTATTGAGAAAAATTTAACCAAACTTGGCCACAATCATCATTTGGGTATCTAGTTTTAAAAATGTGGCTAAAAATAGAACATAGGGGTAAAATGCAAGTTTTGTCTATTATTTTTTGAACTGTTATAAACAGAGAAAATCTGAAAGGAGCAAAAATGTTCAGATTAATGAGTTCTACCAATTGTCCATACACATCAAAACTGTTATACAAATTCTTTTATGAGTTATTGCCCATAAATAATTTTACCATTTTTTTCATTTTTGCCTATTATCATGAAAACTATATTTAGAGAGATACATTTTTGTCCCGTTATGCCTTATATGATTTAAATTATAATAAATAAATAAACACTTTAAATCACAAAAATGATCAGCAGGGCAAGATCTATTTAAAAGTCAAATTTTGCCGATATAGTTAGCACCGTTAGTAGACTCACTCTTCAAAGAAGTGATTGCCCTTAAATGAGGATTTTTTTACCCTCTTTTGTGTTTTGAGCCAAAACTAAAGAAGATAGAGAGAAACCAAACAGACTTAAAGATCATTAATACAAGATCAACAAAATAGAGATTTTTGTCATGAAGTCTATTCTCATCTACAATGTTGAAGAGTGTCCTTTGTTTGATATGCACATAGACCAAGGTGAGCGACACAGGCTTTTTAGAGCCACTAGTTTATTCTTTTGAATGAAATTTTATGTTCCAAAGTATGCTTTGCTTTTACTTTATATGAAAATGATCAGTTTTCTAAAATCTAGGGTGCAATAAAGTGATGACGTCATGTTCATGCACATGTAATTTCCCATAAGCTGGGTCAAAGAACAAAAAAAAATCAAGATTTCCGAGTCTTGAATAAATTTTCATGCTGATGGTTTTGACTTTGATTTATTGTTTTGATTTGGTTTTTTTCCAATTGTTCATTCAGGGGTGTGGAAATGTTTGTTGTGAGCACTTGTCCCTGGGCAAGAAAAGCTGTAACTTTTTACTTTTCCGGAAAAAAAAAAATGCCCGAAATTTCCCAATAAATGTTGAAGTATTTTACTATAAGCTTGTATGATTCTAAAAACTGTTTTGTATCACAATTTAAATAATTTTTGTGATATTTGTATATATTTATGAATAAAAGGAGGTATAGGGAGACAGAAACCTAACAGCAAAACAACCAAAAGACATCTAGAGGGCATTATTGCAATGATTTTTGTCTCACCTTGACGGAGTCAAAAAGCGTGACATACATGTAGGTATGCTGTTTCCGGCAGCGGCGGCGTCAACAATGTATTAGTTTGTGATTAGGTCTAGTTTATGGTGAACCACTAGTGGTAGGTTAATGATATTTGGTATGCAGTTGTATTAGCATTGCCACATCTCATTACCATGGAGATTGTTTGGCCCCGCCCCCTCAGTTATGGTCTATTAACTTTGAAACTATGCTTAGTTTACATGTATTAGTTTGTGATTAGGTCAGTTTATGGGGAACCACTTGTGGTAAGTTAATGATATTTGGTATGCAGTTGTATATGCATTGCCACATCTCATTTCCATGGATATTATTTGGCCCTGCCCCCTCAGTCATCGTCTATTGACTTTGAAACTTTTGCTTAGTTTTCATGTATTAGTTTGTGATTAGGTCAGTTTATGGGGAACTAATAGTGGTAGGTCAATGATATTTAGTATGCAGTTGTATAAACATTGGCATTTCTCATTTCCATGGAGATTATTTGGCTCGGCCCCCTCAGTCATGGTCTATTGACTTTGAAATTAAACTTTTGCTTAGTTTGCATGTATTAGTTTGTGATTAGATCAGTTCAAGGGGAACCATTAGTGGTAGGCCAATGTTAATTGATATGCAGTTGTATAAGCATTAGTACCATGTAGAATATTTGGCCCAGTCTCCTCATGGTCTATTGACTTTGAAACAATTAAAGGGAGATTACCTAAACCACATTCATTACATTAGTTTACATGTATTAGTTTGTGATTAGATCAGTTTAAAATGATCTGCTAATGTTAAGGTAGCGCAATACAAAAGCAACTAAATTTTTATTTTCAGCTGTTTTTGTTTCTTCTTAATATTCAAAAACCACACAAGAAAATATTATTTACATATCTTGCACAGTTAATGAGTTTTGATGATAATTAGTTTTATAAACAAATGCACTGTCTGACTGATACAAGATAAGAACATGTGGGTAGTACTATGTGGTTAATCAATAGAATCATTTGATAGCTTTACCACCACTGACCAGCAATAAAAATAGCAGTTATGAAAAAGAGGTGGATTAGGGATTTATGGAAAAATGAAGATAATGAATTCCAAATAAAAATACATTTCTGTATTGGAGCTGCCAGGAGAAAAAACAAAACAACTATTTGGAGCTATAGAGGGAATCAAAATATAAATGTACAGATATTAATCAAATATAATTGTACAACAATAAATGTTGCTGTTGTTTTTACTAGAATTTCTTGAGGAGAATGTTTAAATATGATTTCTTTTTAAAAGAAAATACAAATTAAATATTTCATTTTCAAACTGCAAAAAATGAAAAAATCTACTTTGAGTAAAACACCATACACATGTATTGTCATTGTACTAGAAATCCCCCACAAGGATCCTCTAGACTGACCAACTGATCATTTTGTGTACACATGCATAACTTACTTTTTGTAACAATGCAAAAAACAAAATATATCATTTTATGTACTAAAAGAATAAAATCCATATTGAAAAAAGTAAATGCAATGTGTAATTAAACTTCTGAGATCATTAATAGTAAAGGTTTATCATGGTGGGCGGAGTTTTGACCATATAAGAAGCAACTGACTTACAGCAAGGTCAATAATGATATAACATCTCCCGCCAGATCTGATTTTTGCATAGGATGTGCATTTTCTTTATATATTTAGAATTGCTGAATTGGAATGCTTTCTTACTGGTCAAAACCTAATTGGTTTAAGATTAAAGGCCAATCCTGAAGTATCCCCATGATACATGTGTGAATTATATTGAAGTAAATGGGGTACAAGTAGGAAAATCCTTATTTATTCAATTGTGATGCATTCATTTTTGTCATGAAAATGTAGTTTTAAATGAAATTAGCTCCTAGATGGGTGCCCCTATATGCTTGATTTTCACACATGTTATCTTCAAAAGGGTGTCTCAGATTTCCAAAAACATCAATAGAACAAATTTTATACCCAATTTAAATGAGTGATCTCTTATGAATTGAGGTTGCAAACTTCATTGAAGGTTTATGAGAGAATGAAATACAATAGGAAAAATCTGAGACACCCTTTTGGAGGTCAAACTGTGTTGCACAAGAATCTATAAAATATTTTGGGATGGTATGAATAACAAAGAAGCTAATTTCATTCAAGTGTGGACATCACAATATAGCAACTAATTACATAATAATTAATTATGTAATAATCATGTCATAATGAAAAATCACCATTTGAAAGGTTAATCTTTCTTCTTTCTTTTGGTACCTCATGATCATTTATAAAATTTAAAGCTGGATGAAAGAAATTACATCAGTTTAAAGTTGTCTGATCTTTGTATTGTGCTACCTTAAGTCAATGATATTTGGTATGTTATAAAAAATTCATACAAGCACAAACAGATATTAAAAAACGTACATATGGTTATAAGCACAAACAAGAACAAACAACAATAAACAACATATGACAATATTATATATAAAACATATATGGTGGTGTGGAGAAGGCTAAACAATATACACAGTAACATTACATAAGGTAATGCTAAGTTGTTTTAGTATAAATTATTCTATTAATGGAAGCCATTGATGTTTTGACTTTAAATATGTTTTTCACGTTGTTCATAAAATAATACATTCAAATAAGTTGTCAAAATATCTATATTTGGATTAACATGATTAAATTGAATTTCTTCAAGTGTAATTTTTTTACTTGTCCGCTGGCAACTCAGACAAAAAATAATTACTTGTCCGTGTATTCAAATGTATAAGTCTGGCAAGTCGGGTATAGCATTTCCACATCCCTGTCATTAAATCATTGTAATCATTCATTTAAATTTAGTGCAATTATTCAGCTCAGCTTTGGGTGCTGTGAGTAGCAATACAACTCTATTCTATAATATTCTATTCTGTTGACGGTTTACAAACACTTTATAGATTAATGTTGTATGGCAAGAATTTTCTACTTCCTGTTATAACAAGGAATTATTTGAATCTGGAATAATTTTGAATTCTGGAAAATTGATTAGAAATGTATGATGAAAACTAACCCAACTAAATAGGGTTAGCCATGCGTGCATGGCTAAGGTTAATTTTACTTTCACTATCATTTCAGTATGAACTAACTAACCCACCTTAGCCATGCGCGCATGGCTAACCCTATTTAGTTGGGTTAGTTTTCATCATATATTTCTCATCAATTTTCCAGAATTCAAAATTATTCCAGATTCAAATAATTCCTTGTTTTATGGAGTTGACGCAACAGATGACTCATGAGTGTAACTAATGCAGGCTCTCTGGAACTTATAGATAGGTTTGATATGACATACATGACATAATTTGAGTTTTAGTTATTTCATTCTTACTGTTTGGTTTTATCAGCTTTTCAAGGTTTGGAATAGGTTTTTGATTTTCTAAACCACTGAACATTGAACAAATACAATCAATCAATCAACTGATTTTCAAATATATTGGCCTCAAGCATCACTGAAGAGACTTTGATTGTTGAATATGCATTTGGTGCAGTAACATTGGTATGATTAATGTTATTATTCTCTAATCTGGTGCTTATTTCAAAGACTGTGCAAACAATTATAGAATACATTTACATCTATAAAGTCACCAAAGTTCTTTGATTGATTCTTCATTTACAATGATTTTTTTCTTACAGGTTCAATGAAATGGGAGAAAATTGAAGTAAGAGGAACTGTACCATCACCAAGGGCCACTGCAAGTCTGGTTGCTGTTGGAAAAAAGTTGTATTTGTTTGGTGGTCTCAGTCACATGTCAGGCTGGTTTGATGTTATGCATGAGTATGATATTGGTAAACAATACAGTTATACAGTAATACTCATTAGGTTTCCTTCATTGTGAGCCATCGATTGATCTTGGATGACTTAAAACAGTAAAATTTACACACAACTCAAACACTTGTACAGGTATAAAGAACATACATGTATATTTGAATATATATTAGGGTTGAAAATGTTCTTGTCAAGACACTTAGTGTTAATATTTTTGTTGTATGACTAGAGCTTCATAGTGAAAACTGGGAAAGAAAGTCTAAATCCAAAGACATCCATCTAAGGGCATATTGGAGTAGCTAATCCTCCAATCATTTGTTGATACTAAGTGTCCAGTTGTTAATGTCTGACTAAAATCTCATTGTGTTGCAATCAAAATAGTCAGTATAAATAAGAAGATGAGGTAGGAGTGCCAATGAGACAACTCTCCATCCAAGTCATAATGTATAAAAAGTTAACAATTATAGGTCAAACAGGCCTTCAACACGGAGCCTTGGCTCACACTGAACAGTAAGCTATAAAGGACCCCAAAATGAGTAGCGTAAAACAATTCAAACAGTAAAACCAATGGTCTAATATGATGACTCTAATCTATATGAAAAACGAGAAACATCTAGGAACCACACCAACAAACAACAACCACTGAACAACAGCCTCCTGACTTCGGACAGGTTCATAAAAATGCAGCAGTTTTAAAAGCTTGAAGTACAATACAGTTATCTCCATTCAAATGCAACGCTAACATGTTCGGATTAAAAATCACATAAATGGAAAATATAAATATAAAAATACATTTTTTGTATTATGAAACATTTTTCTCATCTTTGGAACCTTTGAAGTGCAATGTATGACATCATCGATATGATTTTGGTTTCAAGCATAAACACCAGACATTTGTTGACTTTATGTACAAATGAAATAAAATTTGATAAAAAGGATAATTTCAAGTAAGGCATCTGCTTATTTTGTTTGTTATTGAACAAATTACATACCTATAAATTCTGGATCTCAAAATGGTAGACCATGGGATCTACCATTTACCCATCAAAATATGTATTTATATTGACCAGTCAAAATTACGAATTATAAATTAAAATCCTACTGAATCGTTTCTTATAATAAATTGAAACCTCAGAATCTTCATCTTATAGTGCATGTGCTATTTGCACCTCTTATTTTGTTTTTAATCGAAATAACATTTGGGGTTTCACTTAGCTTATCATGTACTTTGCCATTGCTTTATTTAGGGGCAGGGTTAGCAATGTGAATTTTTCTAGTTGTTCCTGTACATACACATGCCAAATTATTAAATAGAGTTTTGGTTAAAACTTCATGGTTCACTGAACATAGAAATGTGATAGCGTGAGCAGTGCATGATGTTCTTTGGACATATATTCTTGAAAAGATAAAATATTGAGATGATAATCATAAATAAGTTAATCTGTTAATTGTATGAAAACTATGGTTTGGAAAAATGTAATGACTTTTTGAAAAATTAACATCCCAAATTTGTTTTTTCTTGCATACTGAATGAATATATTCACGAGACCTTATAAGAAATAGGTATCTTATAATATGTATGATACATAAAAAGGTTTACAGGGATCACAAAAAATATTGGACAGTACAACAGACCACACAACTGACTGAGGCTGACTCCAACCCAAAATAAACACAAATAGCACATGGTCGTGATTGCTGGACTTGGAACAGCACAACATGTGGCGAGCTTTGATTACCATATTTTATATTATGTTGTACAAAAAATCTGTTTAAAATGTCATCCATCTGTCCTGTTTTTTCCAGAAAATAAAACTTGGTCAGAAATACAAACCACAGGTACACCTCCAGCACAGAGAGACAAAGTAGGAGGTGTTGCTATAGGAACCAACATATATTATTTTGGTGGATTTGGACCAAAGTCAGCTGAGGCAGATTTAGATATATATGATGTATGAATACATATTTTTCTAACTACTTCATTTAAAAAATACAGATTAAGGGGATTGACAGGATTATCATTTTTTATAATTATAAAAGCTCCAAAAAGGAGACAGAAAAGGTCACTAATGACTAACCACACAAGACTTTGGATGAATAAATTTCATTGATTAATTTTGTTATTATCAGAACAGAACCTACTGGCATTGTCAGATCCCAGTAAAGAGGGGACACTGGATTTATTTTTCAATCATAAAAGACATATTATAGTTGAATTCAATATATAATATGTAGATCCATAGATGGAGTAAAGGGCCTACAGGAAACTACATTTGTAGCATGTTAAAAGAGACAAAGATTATGTTTTAGATCTAGAAGTTAGGCTTCTTTTTATACGACCGCAAAAAAATTTTTGTGGTCGTATGTTGGTATGACGTTGGCGTCGTCGTCGTCCTTGTCCGAAGACATATTGGTTTTCGCACTCTAACTTTAGTTTAAGTGAATGGATCTCTATGAAATTTTACCACAAGGTTCAATACCACAAAAGGAAGGTTGGGATTGATGGTTATGGTACCAACAGTAAAGGAATTAGGGGCCAAAAAGGGGCCAAAAATAAGCATTTTTGTAACTTCCAGACATAACTTGTGTGTTAGTGTATGGATCTCTCAGGCATTGTACCACAAGGTTCCATATCACAAAAGGAATGCTGGGATTGATTTTGGGGGTAATTGCCTCAAAATTTTAGGAATTAGGGGCCAAAAAAGGGGCAAAAAACAAGCATTTTTCTAGTTTCATGACAATAACTTGTGTGTAAGTGTATGGATCTTTCTGAAATTGAAGTACAAGGTTCCATATCACAAAGGGAAAGCTGGAATTGAGTTTGGGGGTAATTGCCGAAACGTTTAGGAATTGGGGGCCAAAAAGGGGCCAAAAATAAGCATTTTTCTAGTTTCCAGACAATAACTTGTGTTCAAGTGTATGGATCTCTCTGAAATTGTACTGCAAGGTACCATACCACAAAGGGAAGGCTGGGATTGATGAAGGGGATAATTGCCTTAATATTTTAGGAATTAGGGGCCAAAAAGGGGCAAAAAACAAGCATTTTTCTAGTTTCAGGGCAATAACTTGTGTGTAAGTGTATGAATCTTTCTGAAATTGTACTACAAGGTTCCATATCACAAAGGGAAAGCTGGGTTTGAGTTTGGGGGTAATTGCCCTAAACGTTTAGGAATTTGGGGTCAAAAAGGGGCCAAAAAACACATTTTTCTAGTTTGCAGACAATAACTTGTGTTCAAGTGTATGGATCTCTGAAATTGTACTGCAAGGTACCATACCACAAAGGGAAGCCTGGGATTGAGTTTGGGGGTGATGAATCATAAGGGGGTTCAAAAAATTTGGGGGGGGGGGGGGGTGTTTCCTTTTTTTTCTTTTTTTCATTTTTTTTTCTTTTAAAATTTTCCATTTTAAGTTGGTTATTTCTGATTTATATTTAAAAGCAAATAATAAATATGGTAGGAGATACACACCAAACAGGATGTGTAAATTATTATATAATAAGTATTGTGCAATAGCAAGAAATTTTCAATTGCACAGTATTGCGCAATAGCAAGAAATCTTCAATTGCACAGTATTGTGCAATAGCAAGAAATATCCAATAGCACAATATTGCGCAATAGCAAGAAATTGTCAATTGTACAGTATTGCGCAATAGCAAGAAATATTTAATTGCACAGTATTGTGCAAAAGAAGATACTTCGTATAAATTGCTTATTTCTTGACCAATTTCAATGGGGTTTTATTCTTGAATTCTTGGGGTTCTTTAATATGCTGAATCTAACCGTGTATTTAGTTTTTAGATTTTGGGCCCCGTTTTTAAATTGGTCCAAAGGGTCCAAAATTAAACTTTGTTTGATTTCATCAAAAATTGAATTATTGGGGTTCTTTGGTATGCCTAATCTAACCGTATATTTAGATTCTTAATTTTTGGTTCCGTTTTCAAATTGGTCTACATTAAGGTCCAAAGGGTCCAAAATTAAACTTAGTTTGATTTTAACAAAAATTGAATTCTTAGGGTTCTTTGATATGCTGAATCTAAACATGTATTTAGATTTTTGATTATGGGCCCAGTTTTCAAGTTGGTCCAAATCGGGGTCCAAAATTAAACTTTGTTTGATTTCAACAAAAATTGAATATATGGAGTTCTTTGATATGCTGAATCTAACCATGTATTTAGATTTTTGATTTTTGGGCCCCATTATCAACTTTGTCCACATTGAGGTCAAAGGGGTCCAAAATTAAACTTTGTCTGATTTCATCAAAAATTGAATTATTGGGGTTCTTTGATATGCTGAATCTAACCATGTATTTAGATTTTGGATATTGGACCATAATAGGTGAATGTCCAATTTAAAATTTTTAAGTTCTTAGACCACATTCATTCTGTGTCAGAAACCTATGCTGTGTCAAATATTTAATCACAATCCAAATGCAAAGCTGTATCAAGCTTGAATGTTGTGTCCATACTTGCCCCAACTGTTCAGGGTTCGACATCTGCGGTCGTATCAAGCTGCGCCCTGCGGAGCATTTTATTCAAAATGTTTTAAGAATTGAAGATTTTAAAATATACCAAACAAAAACAGTATTTTCTTTCATTCAGTATTGAAATGGTGTAATAAACATGCAAAAAAAATAAACTGTTCATTTAGCTCTTATACAGTTTTTATGACTTTTTCACTTAGTGGCTGGTTCATATTATAAATGCCCATGACAGTCCTTCTGAAATCAAACAGTTGTCCAGACTGTCTTTCATGATGCATTCAGATGTTGAGATAATTTATTGTTACATTAGTGTTTAGTGATGAGGCCACAATTAAAAATATTTCAGTTTGCCCAAACCCGACCCATGATGACTGGGTGTGGGTAGGTAGGTAGGCAAATTCTTTTTTTTTTTTATCAGAATTTGCATGAAAATATTAAAACAGTATATCTTTTTTTTCCGTCAAACCTTTGTAGAGACATTGTCAAATTTCTGTACCACCTCAATAGGTTCACTCTTGTTAGGCTCGAAAGTTTGTAGCCCACTCTTGTCGGATACAGTAACAACGACTTCATCTGTTTTCCGCATGTCCATCTCATCAGAATCGGCAACCTCATCAAAAACATCATTCCAGGTTTTCATTTTTGTTAAAGCGATAAAGCCTATTAGACACAATAGGCTTTATTTTTTGGTTTATTTTAAGTAGTACAGACGACGACAGCGTAAAAAAACTGTCTGCCATTTTCACATGTTTTACTTCTTTACGTTCGTTAAATCTGTGACAGAAGATAAATACAGAGAACATTGAATATCGATTAACTGCGTCTCTTACACGCTTTCTTTTAATCTTATTCACAGTTACTTTCAAACGCGAAGACGACGAACATTAAGTTTTATATGATGACGGAGCAGACACGAAAAAAATCCAAAAAAAAACGGCAAAAAAAGAATTTGAGTCGGCGGGTTTTTTTTGGGGTTGGTCGCGTTTGGGCAAACATACAATATTTTTATTTTGGCCTGACTTACAGACTGTGTTTGCTTTTCGTTGGATTATATGGACTTTTCGTGGAATAATGGCCTTTGGACAATGATCATGTCATGTAAAATGTAATTTGATACATTTACCTTATGCTCTTAAAAAAATATTTTCATGAGAATATTCCACTTTTGTTTGGGTCCAAAACATATTCTTTCTGGATAAAATATTGAGTTTCCCTTTCTTAATTAAAACAAAACTTATACATATGACAGTTATATATATGGGAAAGGAGAATGAGTCTTTTGAATCTGGTGTCAATCTGTTTAAGTTCAAGGTTGCTGTTACTAGAATAGAAAAGTTTTTAAATAAATGCTTAGAGGATGGAATTCAAGGTTTCCCTTGCATAATTTTAACAAAACATTTACTGGTAAGAAATACAGAGAAGTTGAAGAAGTCTATTGATTCTGAGGTCAATAATTCCAAGTTAAAGTTCACCATTTTGTTTGGAAAAAATTAGTTTCTTGATGATAACTTGATGTTAGTTTAAAATGAAACCTTCAATGACCTATATCAATGGGAAATATATGGAAGGGGAAGTACTATATCAATGGGAAATATATGGAAGGGGAAGTACTATATCAATGGGAAATATATGGAAGGGGAAGTACCTTTAGATTTTAGGTCAATTGTCAAGGTCACAGCTTTTAGATGTAAAGATTGCATTCATGCAATCAAAACCCTTATGTCGCTTGTTTTGATAGTTCATCATTTTCAAGACTTTATTGCTACTTTTGAAGTAAAAAAAAAACGTACATTAAGCCCAGCATTCTTTACATCCTTTCCATGAAAATTTCTAGAAATAAACTAATGAAATATAATCAGATATTCAGGTTACAACATGGAGTATATGTATAACCATACTTGTCAAGAAAACTACATAAATTGTCCATGGTGCATGAATCTAATGTGTTCTAAAAGATACATTTGTATGTCATTGTAAAAGTAATATTTAGAATTGGAGTTATCTTCCTTTATCCATAATTTAAGTTGAACCAACTACAATAATAGACTCCAATTCATGGATTGCCCTTCAATGCTTAATACAATGAAATGTTTAATTTTTGGTTCCAACTGAAAAATGAATGCAATCTTCACCTTCATGTGAGCTCTTTGATTCTGAATATAAGGACTCTGAAGAAAATCCTAAAGGTTAAGTGCAAATTTTGCTCTTTATAATTGACTTTTGATGTTCGACTCAAAATGATAATGGAATTTAAAATAAAACATTTTTCATACGACCACTAAAAAAATTTTGCGTTCGTATAATGCTATCATGATGTCGGCGGCGCCGTCCGAAGACACATTTAGTTTCCGGACAATAACTTTAGTTTAATGTATGGATCTCTATGAAATTTTACCAGAAGGTTCAATATCACAAAAGGAAGGTTGGGATTGGTTTTGGGGGTTATGGTACCAACAGTTTAGGAACTAAGGGCCAAAAACAAGCATTTTTGTAGTTTCCGGACAATAACTTGTGTGTAAGTGTATAGATCTCTCTGAAATTGTACCACAAGGTTTCATATCTCAAAGGGAAGGCTGGGATTGAGTTTGGGGTAATTGCCCCAAACGTTCAGGAATTAGGGGCAAAAAAGGGGTCAAAAACAAGCATTTTTCTAGTTGCCAGATAATAACTTGTGTTTAAGTGTATGGATCTCTCTGAAATTGTACTACAAGGTTCCATACCACAAAGGGAAGGCTGGGATTGAGTTTGGGGGTAATTACTCTAAGGGGGGTTTAAAAAGTTTGGATGGGATTTTTTTTGAGGGGGTTCATACTTTTTTTCTTAAAGATTTTTCAAAATTTCAAATTTAAAAAAAAAGGAATTTTAGAGGGATTTTTTTTTCATAATTTCTCGGTGTTTTTTTTTCCTAAATATTTTCCATTTTTACATTGTTTATTTCTGATTTATATATAAAAGCACCAAATACTGATATGGCAGGAGATACACACCAAACAGGGTGTGTAAATTATTATATATAACAGATTAACTAAGTATTGTGCAACAGCACAGTATTGCGCAATAGCAAGAAATTTTCTATTGCGCAATAGCAAGAAATCTTCAATTGCACAGTATTGTGCAATAGCAAGAAATCTTCAATTGTACAGTATTGCGCAATAGCAAGAAATCTTCAATAGCACAGTATTGCGCAATAGCAAGAAATCTTCAGTTGAAAATAAATACAAATCTTTTAACCAATTTCAATGGGATTAATTTAAAGTCTTTAATTTTTGGGGGTTCTAACCTTGTATTACTATTTTGGATATTGGGCCCCATTTTTAAATTGGTCTACATTGAGGTCCAAAGGGTCCAAAATTAAACTTTGTTTGATTTCATCAAAAACTGAATTATGATATGCTGAATCCTATTGTGTATTTGGATTTTTTATTTTGGGCCCTGTTTTCAAATTAGTCCATATTAAGGTTTGAAGGATCCAAAATTAAACTTCGTTTGATTTCAACTAAAATTAAATTTTTGGTGTTTTTTTATATGCTGAATCTAACCATGTTAGATTTTGGATATAAGACCATACTGGTAAATTAAATGTCCTATTGCAAATTTTTAAGATCTTTGACCACATTTATTTTGTGTCAGAAACCCCTTTTTTTTCCTTTTTTTTCTAAAAATATCTTTATTGCACTTTTCTTTGCTGTAATGACAAATTACTCGACCTACAGCAGTTGGCCGAATAACCAGGGAAATTACCCAGTGAATTCATATTTATAAATAGTTAGTTAGTTTTACAACTCATAGTTAATACAAACATTTTTGGAAAATATATGATCACATGATTACGAAAAATGTACAGTTTTGTCAGGTTTTGTTTCTAAGTATTAGAACTTTATGATCATTGACCTTAACCTTTTGTAAAGAATCGTTAATCAGTTGTCCTGATGAATTCATGCGTCTTATTGACTGTTCTCACAAACAGCTTATACTTTAATTAAATATTGGAAGAGGTAAGTCTTGGAGTCGTAAGTTAGTTTCAACATTCTGATTGAGCCCTCATGTGATAAATTATGCGCATATGAGTTTGGAGACAACTACTGTACTTTAGTTTTCAGTAAGCATGCTGTTTTAATTTCTTACCACGTGTTCAGATCTATTTAATGCATACATGATGAGATTTTACATAAGTTTTTGTATATCTGAAAATAGTAGATTTCTAGATATTCATGATCATATGTATGTATCTTTTTATATCATTTAAAAATTTGCTGTGTTTAGCATTAATGAATTTGTTAATTTCGCATGTGTTCAATTTATAATTTGATATATGAGTACTTTTATGAATTGAATAGATTAAGATAGTTAAGAAAAGATTTATATCATGATACATAGGATCATGTACTTTATAGCCCAAAACTAAAGTTTTTATATTAAATATATGTGACCCTATCTTTGTTTTGCTTACAAGCGCATATACTTTGTTCCAAAATTCATGAAAGTATTGACATTTGAGAAAAAAGTGTTCGTAATCTTCAGTCAAATTACACAGGACACACATACTTGTATCTTCTATGTTCCATTGTTGTAGTAATTGTTTACATGGGAGGATGTAATGGAGCAATTTCCATCTTAACATTTTATATTTGTTATTTATTAAATAAGAAAAAGTATATTGTAGCATATTACTTATTGGAGTGATTGATTCTAATTTGAAGATGTTTTTCCATTTAAAGAATCCTATAGGTCTCTCATCATTCTTGATATTTAAATGGTTGTATATTTCTTTAGATAACATATTTTCAATTAGTTTAGTTGTTCTGTTAACAGTCAAGGACACGTTTAAATTTGTTTTTACAGAAGTTTTCTTGGATATATCAGATTTTAATGTATTTAGCCATTGTTTTTGAATTGAATTTTTCCATTTTGAAAGTTCTGAGATCCAATTAGGTTTAGAGGTTAATTTCTCCAATTTAACTTTTTGTGAAATATGCCCTTTATAATCAATAATATCATTGATGCAAAATAATACCATCTTTTATCTAATTAAGATAAACTAAACATTTTCCTTTAAATCTTATATTTTTGTTTAAAATACCCCACAACATTTGCTGCCTAATATTTTTAAAGTTTGTGATCGGTATGATACTTGTTGGTGTATTATTTGCTTTGTACCAGCTCTTTAATATGTTCAAGTAAAATGAGGGTAATGTGTTACTTAAATTAGATATTGAGTTTATGTTGTCTGGCATCATATGAAATATAAGGTTGTTTTTACCAAATTTGTTAAAATAATATGTTGGAATGACTTTCAGAAGTGTCAGAAACCTATATTATGTCAAAAATTTGATCACAATCCAAATTCAGACAGTATCAAGCTTGAATATTGTGTCCAAACTTGCCCAAACTGTTCATGGTTCGACCTCTGCGGTCGTATCAGGCTGCGCTTGGCGAAGCATTTAATTCACAATTGTTATAACTAAAGTCCCATAATTTTTTATCATATGATTTCCTAATATGGTTGTATAGAAATATCATTTTTACAATCATGTATATAATAAAAAATAAATTGTAAACAAATTTATTGATAAATCCAATCAAAACAATTCATTTTATTACGTTTTAAATTTAGGCTAAAATATTTAAATAAAAACAATGTTATTCCTTTAACAGAGAACATTTACATTCAAAGTAAATCTGTCGAACAAAATTATGTCATCAAATAATACAAATAATACACTGCTCCTTTTCTAAGTTCTTATGAATAACATGTTTATATTCAAAATATTAAAACCACAATTTTTCACTCAGATTAGCTTTTCTATGTGAAGATCAAATGTTTAAAAAAATCTTTCAAAACCACAGTATACAATGTAATTGTAAGTAATCTAAAGTAATCTAATGTAATCAATTACATTTGAATTTAGGTGTAATTGTAATGTAATCGATTACATCAAATTAGCAAAGTAATTGTAATTTAATCTATTACATTTCAAAGTAATCGACCCCATCCCTGATATGGGTATGTTGGGACCAACCATCAATTTGCAGTTACATTTGTAAGAGGAGCATTATGTGGCCTCCTTGTGTTTTTATGCATGCAGATTCCCAAAAATTTACATTAAACAATCAGGAATCATGCCTTGGCAATCATGTTGTAACAACATATTTAATTTTAGCTAAAGTGTTTTCACTGTTTTAGTTTGCTTGCATATATACTTTAAATTCAGATATTATTGTGATTGTTGAAGAATGGACAAAAATGCGAGTTCTTATTATTGCGATACTCACCCAGTAATAAATACCTCGCAATAATTTCAGAATTTACAGTATTGGCTGGATTTTGATGACTATTCACAAAATGATTGGTAGTAAGTGTTTGTTTTTGTAAAGAGGGCAGTATATATCATATTCCATGATTATGAATGGTCCCTGAATGGAATATATTGTATTGTAGCAAACTTCCTTTGAATATTTCAGTCAGAGGAAGAGGGAGAAGATGAATTGCCAGATGGAAGTGCTTCTTTTGGATGGTTTAATGACTTGTTTGTGTTTGATACAGGTATTTATCTTTGCTAAAGGCCTGTTTTACATCTAACATATTCAAAAGAATGTCGAATGGTTACATGTGAATTCCTCATCCAGTATTGTTTAATTTTTTTCCTTTGAAGGCACCAGCCTCCCAAACAGGAATAAGCCCGATCAGTTGCTAAATCTATACATACTGAAATCCAGTTCTCAATAATTTTCATGTCTGTAGATAAAAACTATGAAACATTTGGGTTATAACTTAAGAGCAATTCATTCAAGTATGTATAATAGAAAAACAAAGTATATGGGGTAAATTTGAATCCCACCCTGCTAAATGAAAATTGTATTAATCAAACTACATATTAAGTCAGGAGCCTGTTGTTCAGTGGTTGTCTTTGGTTAATGTGGTTCATATGTGTTTCTTGTTTCTCGTTTTTTTATATAGATTAGACCGTTGGTTTTCCTGTTTGAATTGTTTTACACTAGTCATTTTGGGCTTCTTTATAGCTTGCTGTTCGGTGTGAGCCAAGGCTCTGTGTTGAAGGCCGTCTAAAAGATAAAAGATGAGGAGGAACAAGATTTTTTTTTTCAAAAGAAAAGGCAAAATAATAAACCTGTTTATATAAAGATATTCAAGTGGGATTTCAATTTACTTGATAAATAAGTACAATAATCATCTGTATATATAATTATGGTTACACTTATCATTGATATCTTGTGAAACATGAAGTAAATTTCAAAACTCCTAGGCTGCGCAAACCAATATCTTTTTTTCTTTTTTTTTATGTTCATTCCCCATCAAATTTCTTTAACAATATTATTTGTTCATTTGAATACAGGAAGTGTAGTTTTTGCGATGAAAAATTAACCTCCAGTTTAACAAAATTAGTTACTTTATTTGTTCATGTTTAAAAAGCTCATTTTCAGTGCCTTTTCCTGGAAAATATGAAATAGCAATTTAAACGAAACTGATATGCAAATTAACCTACTGTCATTTCCTCTCATTAAGTTTATCAGGTTTATTTGCCATGGAAAAAATGCTTATCTTTCTGTCAGCAATGGTGCTAAGAAGGTTTTATTGATAAACATGACAAAGGGTACTGTATATTCAGAAATTACTGATCATTGACATACCTGCCAACCTCTGAAACCTTCAAAGAGGGAGATCTCCCCCTCAGCTAAGACAGCTGAGGGGGAGATTTTGCGCGAACGAAATTTTCAAGTGAAAAATATAACCTGTTTATTTATTCATTTACAAAACACAAATAAGAGTAAATAGATATACATTTGTACTTTATTTCTTCAATGATGGTTATATCCTACTCCAGGTGTGTTGGTTTGTTTTTATACTTTTTCAATGTCTTTGGGCCAGCATACCTCAAAGATGTGTCTGTTTCGAGTGATCATCTTTAATGTAAATAATGGTGCAAGATATGTATGAACAACCACATTTATAACACAAGTGTGAAATACATTTCTTATAAATTTCAATTTAATCAGTGAATAAAAGTATTGATCTATTAAATGATTTTCAAAATATAATTATATTTTTGTCCTAAGGTCTTCAAAATCATTAAATTACCATCCTTTTATGATTTTTTGTTCAATTTGTATTTAATTTATATTCTTTAACCAATTCACATTATTTCAAGCAGGGTAACTTAAAACAAGATTAAACAGGGGAAGTAACCCAAAATTTCTTTGAAGTGTTTAGCTTGAGGTAAAAGTCGTTAATGATCGTTAATTAGTATTATGTTTGACAACCAAGCTGTCATGTGAAGCCATTTAATTTTCACATAGACTGTGATTTAAAGGTAAAAAATACCCTCATCAGTGACACAAAAACGTTATTAATGTTGACTGGTCAATTCAAGGTGAAATATCCAAAAGCGGGAGGGGACCGGCAAGCGGGAGATATCCGGAAATTTTGTCAATTGAGCGGGAATCTCCCGCTCAAAACGGGAGGGTTGGCAGGTATGCATTGATCACCAATGAATGGTAATGCAAGAAATTATTATTGCAATTTCATGAAATGGTGCATGCAAATAATGCAATCAGAATCTAAAAGAGAGATTTTATTTTTACAAAATTTATCCTGTTGCAATTTTCGCAATAATAAAAACATTGCAAAAATTTGTGAATTTTCAGTACTTCTGAGTCAAAACTTTGTCAAAGAGGTAAAAAAACAAAATGTAAATTCAATCTGGCATTTTAAGCTGCATTACACATTTTACACAGAAGTATTCGCTTATGAATTAAAGCATATGTGGGGTATACATCAATAAGAAATTTTAATGATGGCTGCTTTAAAAAAGCATGGAAACTTGAAAAAAAATTATTATTATATTTGTACTTACAATTTATTTTTTACATATATAGACCTAATTTAATTACTTTAAAAAATTTCTTTATAAACAGTAAATAAGAAATGGTCTCAACCTATACAGAAAAACCTTGGAGTTCCTACACCTAGAGCAGCGCATGGTGTGTGTGCTGTAGGTACAGATCTAGTCATATTTGGTGGAAGAGATACACAATGTAGACGAAATGATTTACATATATTTAGTACTGGTAAGTTGCTCTGATGAAGGTTATTCCAGAAACAAGTGTTCTTAGCACTGTTACTGGTATAATGATGTGGTATTCTCAAAAACACGTGGTTTTACACTGAAATTTGTACAATATGGTATTCTCAAAAACATGCATGGTTTTACACTGAAACTTGTATAATGTGGTATTCTCAAAAACACACATGGTTTTACACTGAAATTGGTACAATATGGTATTCTCAAAAACATACATGGTTTTACACTGATACTGGTATAATGTAGTATTCTCAAAAACACACATGGTTTTACACTGAAATTGTTACAATATGGTATTCTCAAAAACACATGGTTTTACACTGAAACTAGTATAATGTGGTATTCTCAAAAACACACATTGTTTAATTTTACACTGAAATTGGTACAATATGTTATTCTCAAAAACACATGGTTTTACACTGAAACTGGTATAATATGGTATTCTCAAAAGCATACATGGTGTGTACTGAAACTGGTGTAATGTGGTATTCTCAAAACACGTGGTGTACACTGTCAGAAGTAACATACATTTGTTTATTGAACTGGGATTTTTAGCTGTTTTCTTAAAATTCTGCAATGCTCACTGGAAAAAACAAATTTTCTTTAAGTCATTTAGGACTAATTTTTAGATGTAATGGTAATCTTGCATCTCAATGAATTATTCCTTGATAAAGAAAAGTAACTTATTAAACATATAGATCAATTTAAAAAAGATGATTTAACAAACCAAATTCCAGCTGTTTCACAAAAAACTAATGAAATGAATGAGAAGGGGATGGGAATGAAGTATTTTAAAACATATTTAAAAGCTTAGGGCTGTTACAACATTGATCATGGTGGGGGATGAGAGACACTCAAATTAATTAATTGTATGGTTGCATTTTACTTAGAATTTTGTGGGAAGCTCCTGTTTGATAGTTGAAATTGTGGACAAAAAGTCAGTATGGAAAGCTTCTGAAGATGTTTCGTTTTGAATCCCTTAACAAAAGTTGACAAAGGTTAAGACAAATATCAATTAGTATTTGTATCTAAATGAAAACTATTATACATACAGATACATGGAAATGGAAGGACTGTAAAGTTAAAGGAAGACAACCAGAGCCACGTTCCTTCCATTCTACGACTGCTATTGGTAATAGAGTAGTAGTAATGGGAGGCAGAGGTGAACAAAATCAACACTTTGCTGATCTACATATATTTGACACAGGTAAATAGAAAAGAGTTGAAATGTAAACATTTTGAAATTGTCAAAAGGATTAGACTTGGAAAGGGTCAATATTGACCCTTAAATTCCATGACATTTAAAATCATTAATTGTCTTAAACATTTGATGAAAAAATGTATAAAAGTATTGCAAAATACAAATTCACCAAGCTTTAGCAAGTTCCATCTGAGAGTATTCAGTGTTCCCACTTACCCAAAATAGAATGGTGAATAAGCAGTTACAGATCAAGTTTTATTTAAGCAAATTTTGCGGAAGTTGTTAGAACTAGAATATAGAAAACTACTTGAAAAGATCAGTATTAGACACTTTTCTCTGTAATGTGATTGCCTGATCCAATTGATTAGATATTTGATTTATAGTCATACCATAAAAAGTTACAGATCATGATTGAGTTTCATCTATTTAACCCTTTCACTGATAGCCGCCCTGACAGAAGTTACTCTTGAGACGATGGCTTCCTTGGCTTTTGTTTTACAAGTGGGAGAACTTCATATTTAATATCAATAAAAACTTATTTGTAGTTATTTATGTCTTTATTTTATTCACTTACACCATTGACACAGTTTTGTTTATGTTTTAATAAATTTTTACACTGAACGATGTCCATTCCAAGTGTTCCAGTAAAATCCGATTTTGACATGGTTTTCAAAAAACTCAAGCGCCATGTTTATACTTTCATCAGGGCAATAAACAAAGAAGGATAATTTGTGTTTGCAATGTTTTCACCGGTAAATATAAAAGAGGTACGCTGATCCCGGTAAACTGGGACTCATCGTCAGCTGTCTGAAGGGTGAATCTCATTTAATAAACTGATATTCGTCAGAGAAAGGTTTAAGCAGTTTTTGCAGGAGATGTGGTCCTTTAATAAAGGATATTTCTTTAAATTATAAGCTTTTAAAGAGAGAAAAACTAAATCCTTCAGGGGTTAGGGTAAACCGGCAGTTGATAACAATATTTGCATCTTTAAATAATGATGAGATGGAATTTCCAAACTACATCACTATAAAAATAAGGAGATGTGGTATGATTGCCAATGAGACAACTATCCACCAAAGTTCAAATGAAGTGGATTGAAGCAATTATAGGCAACCACCTTCAACAATGAGAAAAAACCCATACCGTATAGTAGCCTATGAAAGGACCTGACATGAAAAATATAAAACAATTCTATTGAGAAAACTAACAGCCTAATTTTGTAAAAAAACATTTACGGAAAAAAATATGACAGACATGAACCAACAACAACCACTGAACTAAACAACTTAATGCTTGTCCCATATAAGTATGTTGATGTTACAGCTGGTAGGGTAACATGTATTTCAAATGTAATACCCTACGAATGCATGGTCAAACAATCATTTAGTCTGACTTGTTTTTATAGAAACAATGGAGTGGTTACAACCAAAAGCTACTGGAGATTTACCAAAAGGACGTGGACAACATTCTGCAGGTGTTGTAGATGACAAGCTGGTCTTGTTTGGAGGAACAACAGATTTTAATTCAGAAATTATGCAGTGCCAAACTTTCTATAATGATACATATGTTGCAAACATAGGTAATTATTGTTTTTATAACAACAATGAAGACACATGTTTTTCTGTACTACATTTGAGCTGTGTTCTATATAAAAAAAAAAGAGATGTGATATGATTGCCAGTGAGACTACTATCCACCAAAGTTTAAAGAAAGTGAATGTAAGCAATTTTAGGCAACCATACGGCCTTAAACAATTAGAAACCCATACCATAAAGTCGGCTATAAAAGGCCGGACATGAAAAATATAAAACAAATCAATTTGAGAAAACTAACAGCCTAATTTATAACAAAACAATTTATGAAAATATGACAGACATGAACCAACAACAATCACTGAACTACAGGCTCCTGACTTGGGACAGCCACATTAGAATTTGGCAGGGTTTAACCTGTTTGAAGGCACCAACACTCCCCTTAACCTGGCAAAGTGGTGTAACAGTACAACATAAGAACAAACTTTAAACATCAGTTGAAAAGGTCTTAACTCATCAGATCAATACAAAGCAGAAAAACATATAACAAAAGCACAGAACGGACATGGCAGGGTATTTATACATCCCTAATAACAAAAAAGACACAAAGTACAGATCTGAGAGTACTGACAGTTACTTACAGCTAGTTCAAAGGCAATAACAACTAATAGAAAAATCATGTAATCAATCAGTACACATCCAACATCCAATGAACTTAGTGTAAAGATGTCATTAACAGTCAGAGAAAAACATGACCTTGTGCAGTGCAAAAATATAGGTATCAACAGATTGTAGTTCTGTGAATATGAATATGTGTATAACAATAATATTTAGTATGGTTTTAATTTACTGAAAACAAAATCAATATTAATACCTATAAAAACAATATTCAAAGATATAATTACAGTGAATTGGTAACCATTTAGAATTACTTTATTTAAAGGATTGATAAGTTTACCCAGATCATATCTTAATTTCATTGCTCAGTAAACAACATCATCTATGTTCATTCTAATTTTCTGTTTGGTTCATGAGATTAAATGGAACTTTAAAAAAAAGTCAGACAAATTGAAGGAACTAAAGACAGTTTTAGACAGTTTCACCTGAACACCATTGTAAAAATTTAACATTTATTTAAAAGCCATTTTGAAGTGAACAAAGTTTGAAGCTCAAGTTTATTTTTCAATATTTGTGAAAGAGAAGTAGGTATGATGTGACCATGATATGCATAATATGTTTTCATCATTTTTGAAATTTTTCAAAACATATGTCATGCTTTGGATATCAAGTTCTAATCAGAATTTTTTGGAATTTTTTCTGTTGCCTACTTTCAATTATATATTTTTTAATACATTACTTTTTAATTTCAGATGAATTCATGAAAGGTGAATGCACGAAATCAACTAATGGACATGCAGAATCATCATCATAGCAAAAGAGATTTTATCCATTATTTAATTTTTATATTTTTGTTATACTATTTCCCTGCAATATTAAAATGATCTGAATACCTTTCAATATGACTTATTTTAATTATTTCCATATTGATGAGGATATTTTTTGTGAAATAATCATTAACAGTAAATAATTTTATGACATTAACAGATTATTTTTTCCTATACAAAGTAATTATAAAACTGGATGTTGAATCCTTATATATTGGTACTGTTAAAGCACTGACAATTTTATTTTTCACATTGTCACAAGCATATATATCACAGAAACTGAATTTTATGGCAGATGATAAAACTTGAATGTTACTTTCAAAGTTAAAATATTACATACTTTAATTTGTGAAATCATCTCCAGTAAAATGTCAGTGCACCATAGTGAGTTAGTTTGTATCTAGATGAATGGTACCTGACCTGATAATAGCTGGTAGTCTGGTTTCAGTTTTAGTTTACCTGTACATCAAAATTCATATCTTTAGTATTATAAGATTTAGAATCATATAAATTTCATTAGATACCTTTAAGAAAGAGAGTAAAATTGGAAGTTAATTTAGGTCAATTTGATCAACTGAAATATTTACCACTTAACACCAAATCATAAGTAAATATCACTGAAGTACGTTTTTGTCAAAAAACATATCTTAATTACAATAAGATGTAGTTCTTCATGCAGGCCCTTTATTAAGATTATGTCAGCATTGAGGCATAATATGTTATCATGTGGATTTACTTAAAAGCACTGAATGATTACAATACCTTCAGTTGGTAGTTTTCTTGGGGGCAAAAAAATCTAAAGTAAATTTTGAGTAAAAAAATCTCAAAAATTCTGAACAGTAAATGTTGTGAAATGACACAGAAAATATCATATATAGATATAAGATGATGTGGTATGAGTGCCAATGAGACAACTCTCCATTCAAGTCACAATTTGTAAAAGTAAACCATTATAGGTCAAAAGTACGGCCTTCAACACGGAGCCTTGGCTCACTCCGAACAGCAATCTATTTGTATTGGGTATCACACATGTATGTATATGCTGCGTTTGCCACTTTCTGAATTTTGACATGCTTTTTCTTGACTGGAAGTAGGAAAAACCAGACATGGGTGTTTCTTAACTGGCTTCATTAAAGCATCAATCCAACTTATTTAAAGTTTTGTAATTAGTATGAATGAAATAGATGCAATATATGTCAATAAGACAGAAACCCAACAACACAAACAAAAACACCTACAGGGCAATGAACTGTCTTCAAGCATTCATAGCCACAGGTGTCAGGCAATATGTCCAGCTCTAATTTGTTCTTGAGTCTAAAAAGTTTGTAAGAATTAAACACAAACCATTCAGAATATAACATAAGACAACAACTGAGGGGGTGTTTGATTTGGGATGCGCACATGAAAATGTGGCAGAGTTAAACTAGTTATTGTCTTGCCTTGAAAAAGCAAGACTGAGATGTGGTGTTTCCGACGGCGGCATCAACAATGTATTAGTTTGTGATTAGCTCAGTTTATGGGAACCACTGATGTTAAGTCAATGATATTGTGGTATACAGTTGTATAAGCATTTGCACGTCTCATTTCCATGGAGATTATTTGGTCATGCCCCCTCAGTCATGGTCTATTTTCTGAACTTTTGCTTACTTTACATGTTTTGGTTTATGATTGTGTCAGTTTAAGGGGAACCATAAGTTGAAGATCAATGATGTTTTGTATGCAGATGTATTACCATCAGCATATATCATTTCCATGGAGATTATTTGACCCCTCCCCTAGTCATGATATATTGACTATGGATCAGTTGCATAGTTAACATGTCAAAGTTTTAGGTTCTAACCACTTATGATTGGTCAATGGTATTTTGTATGCAGTTTTATAAGCATTTCTCATTTTCAAGGGAGGATATTTGGCCCTGCACCTTCAGTCATGGTTCATTAATTTGAATGTTTTGCATAGTTAAATATAGCCATTTAGATTCAACATTTCCATTATACTTTCAAGAGATCGAGATCGATACGAGGTTATATCGACCTGAGAGTAGCATATTGACCGAGGTCGATATAACATCGATTTCACCTCAACCAAAGGCTACAATTGTTATATTATTAATCAACAACTATTGCATGAACAATGTAAAATTGGGGATTTTTATAATGTATTTTAATGACATGCTGTATGCCCTGTGCAATATGCTGTTTTTGACCTACGAAAAGCTAAACACAACAGTGTTGGCGTGCAAACTCGGTAAAATACAAATTTACATGTGATCAAGGTTTAACGAATCACAAATCCTTAAAATTATTCGATTATTCGATATCACATTATATTAAATTCCTGCGGGTGGAATCATACTTCCATAAAATATTGTAAAAAATTGTATCTTTCCCTGCTGTAAAACTTCCTTAATGTTGAAAATATGATGTGAATTGGTACCGGAGAATCACTGGAAACGCATGCATATCCAACCAACTGACAGATGGTTCTTTATAGAACCAAGAAAACGAAAAAATCGTTACGTTTATCATCAATTGTGTACTATGAAGGTTACCATGAGAAATTGTAAGTGTCCAAAAAAGTATGTTGGTCACTATTAATGTTTCATTGAGTAAAGATGATTTGATTAATTTTATTTGCATATTACGAAAAATTTTGATTGTTCACATCTTGGAAGTACTATAACAATATAGACCATTGAAATTTTAAATGTTACCGTTAACTCCATGTCAATAAGCGACCTGCACTTATCAAGTTTTTCCCTGCAGTCATGCTTTAGTGACTGGTAGAGAGTTGTTTTGTTGGGGGGAGTCGGCTTTAACTTGCGCCCTACTTATAACGTATTGTATGAAAAATAAAAATTCCCTAGGTGTTTCGTGTTGTTTCGCGGGTGTTCCAAAGTTGTGAGTTTTTTTTTTGTTTTTTTTTTGAAGTCCCTACTATGTTGTGGTTAGGTATAACTCTATAGATTTTTGAATGAAATGTGTATATTGTTATTGCAATTATTTAATAAAAAAAAAAGCCAAAGACTGCTGTATGCGTCAAATAAATAATAGAATTATCACATATTTCTTTCACCTACTTTGAGCTTAGCAAAAAATATTGTATCTGAAATTCCCATAAATACCAGAAGACCAGTTTGAGTTTTTATCCCCTTTTCAGTGAGGATTGCCGTGGTGTTGTCCCTCACTGACCATGGGACCACCGAATACTGAATATGGTAAGTAAATTTTAACTGTATCCCTGTATTGACGGTTCATTCAACCTATGCCAACATTTTGAAATTTAGGTATAAAATTGTATGAAAAAATGTTGGCATAGGTTGAATAATTTTTTACAGATTAAGTGTTATCAAAACATAAATTGATTAGGGTCTAATCAATTTACAACCAGTTTAAATTTAGCGTTTAAGTGTATTTTTAATAGTGAAAATGTAGGTTATTGCATGTGTTGATGATCTCTTTTTCATTAGGAATAAATATAATAAAACAATGGAAAATAAGGATTTCTATAATTTTATTAAAGGATTCTATTCATATCAAATATCTAACAGTGTCAATCTCATGAATAAAATACAACAATGATCAAAAAATTTTATGATGCCATCCTTCTAAGTGGCTGTTGTTTCTTGGGCCTACTGTCTCATAATGGTTCCAAAGGTGGCGGTTCGTCTCAACCCAGTATTCAGTAACATAGTCTGTAAACTCTAAAGTGTTGATGTTTGTGTTGGCTCCTTCGATTTCTTCTAATGCATTCAATCAAATATCCTCTACGTGCTGCATTGGTACAAGTGGAAGAACTGCTGCACGTCGAACCAATCTGGTAATGTCATTGTTGTTCTTGTAATGGGTCTGAAGACCAGTATCTTGAGCCTTTCGCCATATACACTGAGTATAGTGAAAGAAGCAACCTTTGCCAGTTCTACCAGGAAATACTTGATAAGCTGCGTTACGTACTGCAACTTCATAATCCAAAAATATAGTAGTTGGTTGTAGTTGTAGATCAAAGCGTCGGCATGCTTGTTTGAGTAGTGTCAAGAACCTTGTGTAGATGATTTGGCTTTTACCGGGTAGTAATGCGTAAACCAGTGGGTAGATGGCACCGTCGACGAAAGCATGGAATGGGTCTGAAGACCAGTATCTTGAGCCTTTCGCCATATACACTGAGTATAGTGAAAGAAGCAACCTTTGCCAGTTATACCAGGAAATACTTGATAAGCTGCGTTACGTACTGCAACTTCATAATCCAAGAATATAGTAGTTGGTTGTAGTTGTAGATCAAAGCGTCGGCATGCTTGTTTGAGTAGTGTCAAGAACCTTGTGTAGATGATTTGGCTTTTACCGGGTAGTAATGCGTAAACCAGTGGGTAGATGGCACCGTCGACGAAAGCATGGAATGTATAGAGTTGAAAAAATCCATCTGGACATGTATAAAATGTTCCATCACCATATATGATGTCAGCTGCTGTAAGGTTGGCTAGGTTCTGACGTGTAGTAAACATCATAATTCCATCTTGTACACCATCATCTGCCATTAGAAACTGTTCTCCAACTGTAGTGACTGTCCAGGGTTCTGTTAGGTTGATCTCATTGCGTGTTTTTGGTAGTGCTTGTATGAGTTTTGATCTCTCGCTGTAAAAGCTACCTCTGCAGGATTCAAAAGTTGGCAGATTTTCTACTACCTCTTGTGTTTCGTCATTCCATTCTGTGTTGCGTAATTTAATGACCTCTTGTTCATATATAGTTGGAACTGGTGTAGTCTCCTCTCGGCACCGTTTCTTTATTGTCTGAAGTATCTCATCTACTTTGAGTTAAACTTTGTGGTTGTCATGATTGTGTCCATTTGGTAGTTTGGTAGGTATGTTGTTGCGAGTATTTAATGTAGCTGGGCATTTGCGTGTAGTACATATCCAGTATACTCTATCATCTCATCTGGTTTTGACTCTGTACTGGTACCCATTGTGTATTATACTCTGGTTGCCTAGTTTAATGGTAACAAACTGAATATCTAACTGTGCATTTTTTTTCTTTTTTTTTTTTTTTTTTTTTTTTTTTTTTTTTTTAAAAGGGGTTGAGCTTATTTCGCCCCTTTAACACAAAGTATAACAAATGGGCTTGGGGCTTATCTCGCCCTTTATTTTAAACTAATTTTAACTTGTATTTGTTTGCAATTGTCACTATTGCTTGCATCCTTTCTTGACTGAATAGAAAGTTCTATTAATAGAATAGGTATAAAGAATAGCAAATATCTAACTGTGCATTTGCCATACTAACTTGTGAATGAATAATTACTACTACTACTAAATAGAGTTTAATGGCGACTACCCTTGCGGGTATTGCGCCAGATTACCTTATATAAAAACATTTCAAATAAATGTTTTAAAATTTATTATTATTTAGGAATTAACCTGTATTATATATTCATATTATAGTAAATTGTGAGTTTTTTTTTTTTTTTTTTTTTTTTTTTTTTCCCTTAAATTTAATCTTTATATTTAAATCTGAACTATGGTGTGTATTTTAATTATCTTAATTATCTTGTGGTTAATTTATAGTGAGAAGAAAAATTTTTGTGGACTTATTTTTCTGTTATTTGTAACTTAGCCTGCTTTATTTATAAATATTAAATGATTTGGTAAGTAGGTGTGTTTGTTGTTTATACATGAGAACTGTAAGTATCAAATACTCTTGGATAGACATATCTGACTTTTCCAAATATGCAAATCCTAGAAGGGGTCTGACATATTCCCGTACATGGTATATACATTAATACAATTATACCCAGTGGCGTAGCTAGGCCATTTGTAAGTGTACGCCCGATACTCGGCGAGGTGTCTGAGGGACCAAAGCGGGTCCAGGGCACAGAACCTCCTAGTAGGGGGTTGATGGGGTGAAGCCCCAGATACTCGCGTTATCGAGAAAGAGATACCATTTCTGTCATTAAAAACTCATCCATAGCTAAATATTTAGAGTCTAGTTTATTTTTTTTTAAGTTTAATTTATTCATTGTGTTGATTTTGAATCCAATGATCATTTGTCTTAGAGAAAAATGTCCAAACCAGTTACTTAAAATATGTTTAAAAGGAGATGTGGGATCTACAAATAGCCAAATCAAGATAATAAAAAAAGCAAGTCTCCATTTCAATATTGTTCTTTTAATTATTTCGACTTCATCTAAATTTTCACCCATTTTTATGCGCAAATTCTGTTAATAGACACATGAAATAAATAATTTTCATAGATTTTCAGGTGAAATATAAAATTCGTAAAGAGTTCCGTGGAACCCTGTGTCTCGCCTGGGATTACTTCTGTCAGTGTGACTATAAAAAGTTATCTATTGATAAGTGAAATACATGATTTAAGAAAAGAAAAACTTTATCTTTAAGATAAGCTTATTTCCAAGGTTCATAACAATCTATGAAGGTTTACAAATTCATCATGTAAAAACAGACCGTCTGTTAATTATAAAAAAAAAATAAGTCAGTAAAATACTGAAAAATAAAAAAATAAAAAAAATAATTTCAAAATTATCTCTTTTAAAATCTTTAAAAAGCTTCTGCCAAATGTTCATAAAATTTCATGAAAGTTTTGACAAAGTAATTGATTTGTAACAAACTTTAACCTCAAAATGTATCTTCTTATTAACTACAAAACAACAAAGTCCTTTTATTAGTTAAATACGGAAAATAAAAAAATATATATTTTCATTATGCTCTGGATACTGACTTTTGATCATTAAAAGTTTGTGTCCAACTTAGGTAAAATTTCATGAAGGTTTGACAAAGTAATTGATTTCTGAAAAAAACTTTAACCTTGTACGGCATCTAAATATTAACTGTAAACAAAAGTTAATAGATATAAGAAGATGTGGTATGAGTGCCAATGAGACAACTCTCCAACCGAGTCAAAATTTATAAAAGTAAACCATTATAGGTCAAAGAACGGTCTTCAACACGGAGCCTTGGCTCACACCGAACAGCAAGCTATAAAGGGCCCCAAAAATTACTAGTGAAAAACCATTCAAACGGGAAAACCAACGGTCTAATCTATATAAAAAACGAGAAACGAGAAACACTTATGAACCACATCAACAAACGACAAGTCCATTTAGTCGACCGTGCAAGACCCTCATTGAAGTCAAGGTCGTTAAACACCCCCTAGTAGTTAAATATCGTTGACATAACACTAGTGGTTTCCCATAAACAAACTTATTACAAACTAATGCATGTAAACCAAGCAAAAGTTTCAAAGTCAATAGACCATGACTGAGGGGGCGGGACCAAACAATCGCCATGGAAATGAGATGTGTCAATGATAATACAACTGCATACTAAATATTATTTGCCTACCACTAGTGGTTCCTCATAAAGTGACCTAATAACAAACTTATACATTGTTGACGCCGCCGCCGACAACGACGCAGGAAACAACATACCTATGTCTCACTTTTTGACTCTGTCAAGGCGAGACAAAAATCAAAAGAAATATTCATAAAATTTTGCTCTGAATACTGTCTTAAATTTGGTCATAAAAAGCTTCCGTCTAACTTCCGTAAAATTCCATGAATGTTTGACAAAGTTATTGATAAAACCAAAAATAACTTTAACAACAGACTGAACCTAAATGTTGACGACACCGATGGAATCTAGGAACGCTTAGCCACGGTCTCGTTTTCCCGACATTAATGTCGCAGGCTCGTCAAAAATGCAAATCACATATCGAATGAATTACTTTAAACAATAGGAAACTGAGTAGAATTCACAGTAGATTCAGACTTTGACGGAAAATGAACGAATATGTAATGTGAAACTATTTCATTAAAAAGTAAATTTCGTGAATTTTAAAATTTATTATTGAAGAAAGAATATGAAGGCTCGTGTGGTTTAAGCTTTTTTTTATTTGTTTAGATTAATTATTTTTTTCTCCTAAATTCATGTGTACGCCCGGGCGTTTTGACGTAAACGTAGCTACGCGCCTGAATACCGCGGCTCGTACGTCCTTGGTAAATTGTGATTCTCTGTATATTGAATTTGACTAAAGATAGCACCTTCACTTATATTATAAAAGATTCTTAAACTTACGTTCTAGAATAAAAATATAGTATTACCGTGTATGTATAATTAGGATCTATAAGATTAATGTATTGTTTTGACATTTTTGTGTGTAATAAATAGTAAGTGTTCATGTTTTGCAGTTATGTACAGTATAGATACCAGAGAGTGCTATCTTGGTAGTACTTGATTTAGTGTACTACTTTAAAAAAAAAAAAAAACTTTCGTAAAAGTTTTAGTGTATATTGTCAAATTCAACGGGGTTATATTTCTAATATTTAGAAATCATAAACTGATAAATGATACCTTCCAGCTCTGTTACAACTATTAAAAAGCCAATATTTAGAAATAAAAAAACTAAAAAAGGTAAATAATATATATCTACCAAATTATTTGTTTTTGGTGTCGCCCGTTTAGACTGGAGTTGTTTCCCTTGCACTGTAAAGAAATAAACATTGTAGGTAAATACTTGCAGCCGTGAAGCTACCACGTGGTAACCATGTGCTTTAAGCAGACACGGCGAGGAGGCTGTGAGCAAACAGTTCCAGCCCTAACGGATGATTTAGCAGCCGTGAATAGTAATGATAGACAATAATACTATAAATACAAGGTTAGTATTTACACGGTGCTTTGTTTTTGGTCGTTGTAAAATGTGCTGGTTGGTTCTTAAAATCATCATATCACAAGGACCGGGGTTCTGGCAAGCCAGTGCCCTCAAAGAAAAATATCCCACAATAAGATAACTCATCTCGTCCGTCGACCCCATGTATAACCCTATCAATATTTTAGCTACGGTGTCAATAGTTTATCCATTGACAGCAGCTGAATCACATTCCTCATAGTGTTAGTTAGGTACATATATATATACATGCAGTTAATTCTTGTTGTGAGGTTTGTGTCCCCAATTTGATTTGGGATGGACCGACGAGAGAGTGATTGTGATTGATGATTTCTGGGAGATATGTCAGACTCCTGTGGCATGATATTTTACATATGATCACATAGATATAGGAAGATGTGGTATGAGTGCCAATGTACATGTATTTATAAGAAAATTATAATAAAATCTACTTAATGCTAATTAAATTAATCAATTTTATTTTCATTTCCTTACATAGATTTTCTCATATCAAGAGTTCAATTAATCAGTTGTTACAAATGTAATTAGTATTTTGAATACTTGATACTTCTTGTCATACTTGTTAAAATCCATGGATTGTTGTCCAGTGACTAATATTTCATGTTTTGTTAAAAGTAATTTTACTAATGATTTACAAGTCCTAAAGTGTTTTTCATTTCTGTTTACCTATACTGATAATATCTGTAGGTATTCTCACCCTTACCATAGGTATCCTATTAAAATAATTATAAGCATGTTTTTTACAAAGTTTAAACTAGAAACTAGAAATATATAGCTAGCTTTTTAGTATATTGATATTCTGAATAATTTTACTTTTATCGCATACCCGTGTTTATTAAATAATCCCATATTGGGATTAGTGTCTGTGAATATCCTGAGAATAAATTTTTATATGAGAGATCTTTTACACCTGTTGATTCAAACTTTTCCATCATTTTTTGTCTTTGTGGTATGTACTTCCTACAGTTAAACAGGTAGTGTTGCATGTCGTCCACTACTAAACATGTGTCTCACAGTTCACTATTACATTTACCCATTGTGTATTTGAATTTATTAGTGAATATATAACTTGATCTAAGTTTAAATAGAGTTCTTTCTCTTTCTCTAGTACTCTTTGGTATAGTAATACAAAAGTTAACATTATTTTGAATAGTGTGTAGTTGTTTACTTTTTGTGTTATTTTCCCAGTATTGTTGCCACATTTTCTTTAGTAAATTTTTACATAAACATTTGATATCTTCTTTGTAAAGCGGTATATTAGTTATACATGTCTCTATTGATAGAGCCTTTTTAGCTGCTGTGTCTGCCATTTCATTACCACTTAAACCCACATGACTGGGTATCCATTCTAATAGGATATTCAAACCTAATTTGGAAAGTTTACTATATATATATTGAATGTCATATATTATTTGTGTTTTAACTTTGAATATACTTCCTGTGATAGCTTTTAGTGCTGACAGTGAATCTACAAATATTACAGTATTTTCTGGTTGAAATTCTTCTAACCAATATAAAGATAAAAGTATGGCTGTCAATTCACACATAAATATTGAAACATGGTTTTGCAATTTAAAACCTTTATTAACTTTAAGTTCTGGTACTACAAAAGCACATGCATTTGTGTTGTTTTCTGGATTCTTAGATCCATCTGTATATATTTTTAAAAAATTACTATACTTGTTATCAATGAGGATATTTCCTTCACTTTTAATGAGGTGAGGACTATCCTTTTTAGTAATAATTTTTGTAAGTTCAGTTCTGACCTGTGGTTTTAGAACATGCCATGGTGGAGTTGGGAACTCTTTACATTTGTATACAGTATTAGTATCTACATTAAATTTATTCATAGTATCATGTGCAGTAACACAATATGGTTTTTGATTTTCCTTAATTTTTTCCTTATTAAATTCATATATAGCGTTTTCTTGTAAACTCTTTTTAGTTGGGTTTGTGTCATTGAGACTAAATATATTCATAAAAGACTTAGTAATAAGACTTTTTCTTCTCATCTCATATGGGGGGTCACCAATTTCAGTCTGTAATCCACTTATACTAGCAGTTTTATGAGCACCTGCACATATTCTTAATGCTTGGGCTTGTATACTATCTAGTTTTTTCTTGACAGAGTGGGAGGCTGAGTTATACACTTCACAGCCATAATCAATCTTTGACCTTATCATTGATATATATATTGTTCTCAGGGTAGAACAGTTTGCACCCCATTTGGTACCAGTTAATAATTTCATGCAGTTCAACACTCTTGAACATCTACTTTCTATATATTGTACATGTTTTAACCATGTTAGCTTTGAATCAAAAATCATACCTAGAAACTTGACTTCTTTAACAAATGACAATATGGTTTCTCCAAGTTTAAGTTTAATACAAGGGGAACTACTCTTACTAAATATCATAGCTACAGTTTTTGTTTGTGATATGAGGAAACCCCATGTATCACACCAAGTACTAATTGTATCTATATCCTCTTGTATTCTTTTTTGTAGATATTTAGTGCTTTTACCAGATAACCATATGGCACTGTCATCAGCAAACTGTGACATAGCACAGTACTTTAAATTATTGGATATATCATTCACCATGATGTTAAATAGTGTAGGACTTATACAACTACCCTGTGGTGTACCATTCTGAATTATAAATATTTCAGAGTAAGTATTATTAACTTTAACTTGTATTGTTCTGTCACTAAGAAAATCCTTTACCCATCCCAACATATTACCCCTTATACCTAGTGAAGCCATTTTTATTAATAACCCATTTTTCCAAAGCATATCAAATGCCTTTTGGAAGTCTATAAATACACCAACTGTGAAATGTTTTTTGAGAAATGCTTTGTGAATATCATTATCAATTCTAATTATCTGTTCCATAGTATTTCTATTTTTTCTAGATACCACCGTAGTCTATTATTAACCATTTTCTCCATTATTTTTACAAAATTAGATGTAAGGGCTATTGGTCTATATGACTGTGGGTCTGTGGGGTTTTTTCCAGGTTTAAGTACTGGTGATATAATAGAAAGTTTCCATTCACTTGGTAGTTTTTGTAAAAACCATACTCTATTAATAAAAAGTAATAACACAGACAGTGATTTGTCTGTAAATTGTTTAAACATAGAATATGTAATTTTATCTTTTCCAGGGGAGGTATCAGATGTATCACTGATAGCATCTTTTAATTCTTGTATAGTATATGGTTCATTATAACTATCAGAGTTGTCCTTATAATAGTGTAATAATTTACAGTACTCCTTTTGTTCTAAATCTTGTTTCTGAATTTTAAATTTTTTAGAGTAATTATCATCACTACTGACTTGGGCATAATTTGTAGCAAGTATATCAGCTTTGTCTTGAGTACATTCATATTTGGCGTTGTTATATAACAGGGTTGGTAAGTTTAATTTTTTAAAAGTTTTACCCAACATTGATTTTACTTTTTTCCATACATCTGATAATTTAGTATCATTATTGAGCAAGTTACAGTAGCTCTCCCAATACATAGCTTGTGCAGCTTTAATAGTTTTTCTGCATGCTCTTTCTTTTTCTCTATATGTAGTGAAATCAGTACCAAGACCTGTATGTTGGGCACGATTTTTACAAATGTTCCTTTCTTTTACATATTTAGTGCATTCAGGTGTCCACCATGGTACTTGTGGTTTTTTAGGTTTATTATTTTTCAATTTGACTGGGATGCACTCCCCAGCTATTTGGAGTATTTTGTTTGTTAATCTTGAACATGTTTCTTCTATATTGTCAGAAATCATGTCAGGACTCAAATGTTCATCACATTTGCTGGAGAATGCCTCCCAGTCTGCTTTCTTATAATTATATACAGATTCAGTTTCATCAGTTTGCATTTGTTTATGACTAAAATTAATATTTACAACATGATGGTCACTGCCATAAGAACTAGTGAGGTCAACTGACCATGTTATTTTACTAGCTAGACTATAACTACAAAAAGACAAATCAATAGGTGCCAGTTCTAATGTACTGGGATTACACCTTGTACCTGTACCATCATTAAGAAGTACTATATCTTTATACTCAAGGAAAGAGAACAACTCTCTTCCCTTAGTATCTGTGTGTTTACCACCCCACATAGTGTGGTGGGCATTAAAGTCTCCACATAATAAAAATTTTCCCTCTATTTGGTCAAATATATTGTTATATTGTGGTAATTTGGTATCTGATGCTGTGTCATAAAGATTGACCAGTGTAATATTATTATTGTCAAAGTTAAATTTAATACATGATATTTCTAAATCACTATCAATATTATTTTTCAGATATGGGAGGTTTTCTCTGACATATATTGCTGTACCTCCATGTGATTTAGTATTGCGTACAGAAAAATCAGCCAATTTATAACCTATTACATGTGGATGGTCTTGTTCGTTTTTGCACCATGTTTCCTGGAAGCAAATTATATCAGGCTTTATTTGCGACATAGCTATATACTCGGCAGCATTATTGTGAATACCACGACAGTTCCAATGAACAATGCTAAACATGATGTTGTATATTAGTAAACTAGTAAAATTAGCCATTATAAGCACAGATATAACATATAACATTACTACTGTTACTATTTTATGATTTGTATAATACATTATAGCATTTCTGTTGTTACTCTATTGGCCAATTGGAGACCTTTCGAAACATCGTAATCAAATCCAAACATTTGTTTGGTTGCCATTGATACGAAACCAATAACTTTTTCTAAATTTAGTTCACTTGGTGGGGTTTGGGATGTAAGTATGTTAAGCATTGCAACACTTATAATTGGAATTACTTGGTCTATTATGTTGGTGTTTTTATAACTTTTTTTAATATCAGTATGTTCAACTACTTGTTGCTGAACAACAGGTTTTGCTTTAGCATTAGCTTTAGCTTTTACTTGTTTATTTGCTTCATGCAAGGTGATGTTGTCTCTTTTAACTACCTTGAGAGCTTGTTTTTGTTGCTCCCTTGAGGGACAAAGTTTATAATTCGATGGATGGTCACCTTTACAATTAACACATTTCGGGGATTCAGTGTTACATTCGTTGGATTGGTGGTCATCACCACATTTCCTACATTTTCTTTTATTACTGCAATTTCCTGCCATATGCCCATATCCCTGACATTTATAACATTGGATGGGATTTGGTACATACAGCTTAATTTTATAAGTATTAAATCCAATATTTATGGTTTGGGGTAGTATTGGTACATCAAAGATCAGTTTGACTGATCTTGACGTTTTTCTTGTATTACTAGATTTGTCATAGTATGTTAGACGTGTCGCCTTGCAAACTTTTTGACTTTTCATGACTGATTTTAAGTCTTCATCCTCGATGTCGAGGTCAAGCGGCACGTTGTATATCACTCCAGCTGATGATGTAGTCGATTTGGGCAAACTTGTCCTAATCGACCATTCACCAATGGAGGTTCTTTGTTGAATCGCTTTCCATTGATGTTTATCTTGGCACTCGATTAGTAAATTGCCGTTTGCAAGTTGCTTTAGATTTTTTGCAACTCCAACCGAATCCGATAGAGCCTTTTGAATTTTAATTGGATTTTGTCTTCCAAGTTTAATAGATGGGTTAATACTAGCTATTATGAGCAAGTATTTGTTGGGGGCATTTTGGAGGGAGGGTACTCTGATAACAGTGGTGTTCTGAGTGGTAGCGGGCGAACCTGTTGCTACTCTCTTACGTTTTTTTACTTGGGTTGTTCACGAGTGTTGACTTTCATTGTCAGTTGTTTCTAGGTCACTACTACTCAAAGCATTATAAAAATCCTCAGTTTGGAACTGAGTATTTTCTGACTCGTCCATAATGGCGGACAAGACAAAGGTAAACAAAGAAAAACTATATAGATACTGTAAATAAGACTATATAAATAAATTAGTATCAAATATTGTACAGATTATATTAATCTTATTTGTATATAACAAAATAAACTCGATACCCAATCTGAAAATGTGAAAATGAACAATAAATAAGTACAGTGCGGTGCTACAAAAAACACGACCGTGATGATCCGGGACTCACAACCCGAATGAATAATTTCCAGAAAACATTTTATTTTATACACTTCTTAGCTTGGAACTCAGCAATATGTCATAAGTGAACTCATTTCACTTTAATTAAACTTTATTATTGTACCAATTTGGTCAATTAATTTTAAATCACTAAGAGTAAGTAGTCCAAGCTGTATAAGTGAGATTATATCATATCAATTATTAAACTTTAACTATTAGTAATAATTTTATTTGATAGTTATTTTAAGTTTCAGTTGAATTAAATTAAATTAAAATTATTTTTTTTTTGTTAAAGTTTTGTATTGTTTATTGTATAATTCATATTTGTATATCATAATAATTAATAAAAATTTTGCAAGATCAAGTGTTATATTTTATATTTATTTAAAAAAATTTTTTTTTTATCAATTTCATTTTTACTAAATCACAATTTTGCAAATATTTTATTTTTTGTTTCTAACTTTTCAAAGAGTAAAATTAAGTGCTTAAAAATACTTACTGTATTTTACCTGATATTAATTAATAATTGTTAAAACAACACCTATTGTATTTTGTTTGTAGGCATATGTTGAATATATTTTTATCAAATGTTGGCATAGGTTGAAGCATAGATATAATAGCCATAGATAAAGTACTCAGAATTTGTCACACTGAGCCCCATGTAGTTTCCTTTGAAATATCAAAAGCAGGGCACTGCGCGTAGTGGCCTATGATGTAGATGATATCTGCCGACATCCTCCCACTAGACTAATTACTTATCATAATTATATTTAAATTATCGGGCACTCGTCTTATCAACCGTCAATTAATATGCGTTACCTGTCTCAAGTAATAATATGCCGTGACGCGGAAGCAATATAAAGCGTCTGGTTGTAAAAGTTGTTCGGATTGTAATTTATTTGGAGAAAATCGGTCAACAAATGAAAAGGTTATGCTGTTGTTGAAATAATAAAATAGAGAAATCATGAAAAATGGACTTAACAGGCATGTACAATTAAATTGTCATAGCACTTGCATCGGTTGCACTCGGAAAATAAGACCTGTATGATTGACAAGAGGAGACATATCGTTTACTGATGGTATACGTGGTTAAGAGGTCGAACCTGGTCGAATTTTTCTATGGCGAGTTAAAGAAATTTCTTTTTTATCGAGATTCAAAATAGTGTAATCATATTTTATGCCAGAAAGAAGAAATTATTATTTTTTAGAAAAGTGTTGAAACTTTCTGTCGTAACACGAAGTTTAAGAAAATAAAGAGAAAAAAAGGAATACATTATAAACTTATTAAACGCCGTTTGGTGAAGAAAACGTATGTAGTGGACACACTGAATACATTAAATAATTGGGAAATAGCACAATCATGTCTCTGAATTTGTTTCTTCTATATACCTTTCCGCTTACCATTTTTGTGCTTGTTTTGCTATTAAATAGATGGTGGTATAATCTAACTGTCGATTTCATTTTTGAAGTAAACAATATATAGATTAAGCGTTATAATGGCTATGATAAAATGAAAATATAGGAGTTTTGTCCTGTGTCATTCGTGGTTTTTTCCTCTTCCTTCTTACAATTGTGTTAGAGGTTTGATTCGTACTATAAATACAGCTAAATATCCCTTCCGGCGCGGGACGTTTGCGCTTTTACATAGGACGTTTGTGCTTTTTTAAATGGACATTTGCGCTTTTTATATAGGACATTTGCGCTTTTACAATATTTACTTCTCATGACTTCCCTCCTATTTTATCCGAGCTTTGGACCTGGCAGAGTTAAAAAAAAAAGTCGTTTTTTTTTTATTATGGGTAAAAGTCATTACGTAGCACATTCGTGTGTTTTAAAGTCTCCCGATTCACAATTTATTAGATATCGATCGACGGCAATTGCCAATGAAGGCTAATTAACACCAAGCGTGACATGTATATAATAAGAGGGTGATAAAATCTCGGCATATATCATCTGCTTTTGATGTGGGTCCAGTACTTTATCTATGGCTATTATATCTATGGTTGAAGACACCGTATTGACACCGTGACTTCGGGAACTACTATCACCATATGATTTGGACCCATAGATTGGTGTCCTGTTGCGAGCGAGGCATATTATGTTAAACTTACATAGTTTAATGAACAAGTATGTGCTACCAGCAGGAAGCTTGCCATTTCCGTTGTAGTTTTTTTTTACCTTTTTAAAATCTAAAATAAGGATAACAAATATTTAGATTAACCATTACTAAATTTGTCGGGTATATTTTTCTTGGGACAGAACTCAGTAAGTTCTTCCTTATATAGGTATGTCCCGTTTACTTGATATAAAAAGTAAAAACAAATATAAATTATTGCAAACCAAAAGAAACTTTTCCACAGAGTCAATGAGACAATAGAACTAACAAAAGTTTAAATAGATTGACCAATAGGAGATGACTCTGTGGAAAAGTTTCATTTGGTTCGCAATAACTTGCAAATAAGAAGCACTCTCAGTATTTCAGTCTATTCGTATCTTTTACGTATGTATAAATCGGTAAAAAATTGTATCCTGTAAGGATATTTTTTTAGCTGAAATTTATGTATTTATAATTTTTTCAATCTGTCTAATTTTAAAGTAAATCTTTCTGTGTTATAGTTCTTGCAATGAAGTCAAAAATGATCTACGGTTTCTTCAACTTTACATGACTCACATAGTTTAGTGTTAGATGAGCCTATTGTATGCAGTTGTTTGTTAAGTGTTGTATGACCAGCTCTTAATTCAAAAATTAGTCTTTCTTTGTTTCTTGACATTTTTGGTATTTTTATGTCGAAATCAAATTTTGGAGAAATTTTTATTAAATTCTCTATCTTTGGTATTATTCCATTCAGCCTGCCACATGTACTTCATATTTTTTTACATACTGTTTTAAAATCGTCTTTGAACAATGGTACAAACATATTCATATCTTAAGTTTCTTTTGCAATTAGCGTTAATGATTTCTGTTTAATATTTTTACAATAGAAAGTAATTGTATCTTGAATAGCTTTTTTAGCTGGGTGTTCTTTATCAAAAGTAGATATATTTAATTTATCAATTATAAACATATGACGAGGTCAATACGTTATATATAGACCTGTTCGGATTTTATTGACCGAGGACGTAGGCCGAGGTTCAATATAATCTATATATTACATATGTAAATAGTGTAAGTTTGAAAATGATATTGACTCGATGTTACTATTTTTTCGAAACCTGAATATTTGTAAAGCCAATGACGTACAAGAACCGAAACAGTTGAAGAGCTTTATGATCAAAAAGGACCTAAATATAGACAAATCCATTTGAGGTTAACCTTGACTGATAGATGTTACCTGAGGGAGTTGAAACCTTAGTTTCTTTATACCTTAAAAAGTTATAAACGGAAAATTTAAGACAGGTTTGTTATAAAGTGAAGTACTGACTACTGAGCTGCTGATACCCCTAGAGACTGATAGTCTACCATCAGAGGTATCCACCCAGTACTGTAGAAAATAATAACAACATGATAGAATTTTCATGCGTCCGAAGCTCTTTTCTGGATTTACCTACATAAATGTCTCATTTTAACGAAGACTGAAAACAACTAGTCTCCGGGT